AACCAAATAGCAAAGCTCAGTCCAATTCTTAATGATTTCATGTAATGGTGCCATTTTTGCAGTTTAACTGCCCATAGTTTTTTTCCAGCTTACTCTTACACCAAATAACATCGCTCTTCGTGGTAGTCAACAGTTGCGCATATGTAACACATGTCCTCATTGAGCAAACTGATAATAACTCACCATTTCATCAATCGATTTACTAAAGATTTCCAATAGTTATATTGTTTAAAATTACGCAATGATATATTGAAATCTAGTGTTTAAATTATATGAACTTCATAAATTATCTTTCTTACCACAAGCCTTTGGTGTCTGTGGATTATTTGATCACAAATTTGTTCACAAGTTTATTTGTTAGCCAAAAAATTAATAATTCTATGACAGTCAAGTGAAATGACATTGATAGCCGCTAATTAAAATCTATCGATCAAGTTTCAGTTTGAACACTGAATGATTTGATGCCGAACATTGATTATAACTTTGATTGGAACAGTAGGTGACTTTGGTCTTAATCCCATAGGGAGCATTACTTCTTTCTAGATTACATACGAAACTCACTGATTACGAACCACCATAAAATTAATGGGACATATTAACGATTAACTACTACCAAACACCAATGAATTACTACGAAAGCCATCATCCAGAAGATTTAAGTATTCATTAACAGTTGTTTATTTCAAATCTGTTGGCCGGACACCATCAGCTACAACCTACTATGGGAGAGAAAAAACCAGATTCCACTGAAGGAGGAAATCAGCAAGAACTGGTGGAAGTGGATTCGACACACACTGCGAAAAGCACCCAAGTGCGTCACAAGGCAAGCCCTCACATGGAACCCTCAAGGTCAAATTAAAAAAGGAAGGTCAAGAAACATAGAGAAAGATACGAGAAGAATGAACAAAATTTGGAGATGACTGGAAAGAGAAGTCCAGGAAAGAGTAGGATGGAGAATGGTGAACGGTGGCCTATGCTCCATTTGAGGTGAAAGACAACTTAGAATCGTCTTAAAAACACCAATGAATTAGAAGGAATCTATTTTTTCTGCTTAAAAGCTTATTACTCGTAACAACGAATCACGTAGTCTCTATCTTTAATTACTGTTTACCTGATTCTGATGAAAAAAAGGATTTGATTGTGTCCAATTCGGTCTCATGTGCTCTTGGACTGAATCATGTTGGTAGATGTCGACTACCTAGTTGGGGCCCGAGAGACTATAGTAATCGACGGTTGCAGACCTTCAATGACATGGATGAAGACAGATTGCAATGGCGCAGGTGCAGTCATTCTTTGTGTTCTCTCAAATTCTAACCTTACGAATTCCTCATCACTTTATCTTTTTAAGTTTATTTCACTAGATTCTACTTCTGGAATAATATCTTCAAACCCTTAATCTCTCCGACTACTGCTAATACTTCTACTACCTTTAATACTATGGGATTTGAATTGACAATTGCATCTCTGTGCTAATGTGGTATGGCAATTTCAACTAATGTACGTACGTTTGTACAAGGTTCCATGTTGTTGTTCATTGGCTGAATGGAAAAAATGTGGAATGATTTTAAACGTGATGCATGTTCAAGCTTCATTTTGCACAGATTTATTCAATACATTCAGTTACTTATTACAACTTACATAACATATTTTGACTTCGTTTATTTACACTTATATGAAGAATACACAAATTCTCATTCATCATCTCTACCTGTGATTACTTAGCAAAAATTTAGGTTATAGATGAATATACAAGTAGAGTTAGCATATTTTGTTTTTCCAACAAAAATATTATTAGCTTCGACAATTTTCTCTGAAAAACAAAACCAAACTGGTCATAAAAACGCTTCCAATCAATGACAATCATCGGTGTTGATGATATTTACCAATGTTACTAGTGAATATCAGTTCTCGTTCATTCATTCAAGGTTATAATATAAATGATTTGGATAAATGTTGATAGAATGCAAATTTTCTTGATTTGATTTCACTATTCACATTGATTTGCTTTGTATCCCTTTCTTTCAAAAGATATGATTTTGATTGGTTTATTAATTTTTCAATACATTATCCTAATATTTAAATGTTCCAGATAAATATTCGTTACCATTTTCAATAAATCTAATCCAAAATGTTTCGAGTCGATCAATAAAGTGCTGCTATACAGGCCTATGACAATTTAATGCCTATTGGGAATTTTATCAACAAGATTATATGTAGGCAATGTTAGTTGAAATCAATTTTCAATGATTTAATCAGTATTTAATGATAAGAAAGTTACGAACGAGTGATTCACTTGTTTTAATTATCGAATATTTCTATACTGATGTCTGTAACTTTTGAATATTTTCAGCAAATAAAATTAATACTATTCGGTTTTTACATAACTATGGGATTAAGTAAGATGGTATAAAAAAATGTGACTGACGTATATGTAATTCAGTGGTAAGAGTGTTCTGTTTTTAGCCAAAGTTTGAACTCCGCCTTACCTGTCTCAATTCGCGTAAACAGATAGGCCGACGCATAGCAAATGAGTTAGAATACGAGTCAATGCATATAAATATAGTTATTAATATAATAGGTATTTCATGAATTTAGTGAAACGACTATCATTGGTAATTGTCAGTGCTTTTGAGATAGTGGAGAAAATTTGTAGCTCAGGTGGCTGACTGTGGTGGTGTTTCGTTCTCTTTGAGCTGGATGTTTTGGTTGTGAAGCTTTCATTGTTCTTTTCAATAACATCATCAGATAGACTTCTGTCTGAAGTTTGTTCAGAAGAATAATGAAAGCTTCACAACCAAAACATTCAGCTCAAAGAGAACACAACATTAACGCTGTAAGTGCTTTTATTTTATCTTGACTTGCTGTTATAATGTGATCGATTATATCCTAACCACAAGAATGCAGAGTACAAGGTTAAAGTGTTGTAGATTAACATCAAGATATTAGCAATGCTTGCCTAGCCGATGAATTAATAGAAAATGACAGGCTTCATTAGAAATGATACACAAACGAGTAGTTAGGAACTTTGAAAGATAGCATTCACTGGCACAAATAGGAGAAACCCTATATCAGTGTAGATATTTATCGCAGAAAGATGAATCTACAATATCCTGCAATAAAACATACTAAAAATCAACGTAATCAAATGTTTTTATTACAACAACAAAGTATCGCAAAATTTACCATTGATCTAACTAAATGAACTCTTATTTTCAAACCAGAACTAAGCAAGGTAATTCAAGAGAAAAGTGGAAAAAAAATATTCGTATCAGACATAAAAAATTTCACTTAAAGAAAGTATTTTAAGTGATAGTCTTCATTAATTATTATAACTATGAAGTATACTTCACAATCTTCTGTCTTACAACTTTTGAAGTGGCATACAAAAAGTAGTTCGGCAATAAAATGTTCAGTTTATACAGACAGACCAATGTATGGTGTTAGTGTTGAGTTGAATAATATAGAAAACTTTGTGATTGATATTTGTCAAATGAAAACTTTAAATGATATTGTGGTTCTAAAACATGCCTTGATTAGTTTACGTTGATTTGAGTTCATAATCCTGTGATTGGTCTTTTCAATTCATGATAGCAGACTAATTGCATGCAACTAAACTGCGAAAACGGACCAATCAGAGTTAAGATAATGCCTACGGAATTTGTAAGCCAAATTCATTCATCCACATGGGCAAACAACCTTCTTGCATTACACATTCAAATCATCAATCAATTATTTTTGGACCAACATTAGACATTGGACGTCCGCTTATGTCCAGCTACGGGACTGATCAGAACTGCGCATCCACGACTCCTGCACGTTCCAGGACTCGAACCCAGGACCTTTAATCTTGTGTGCGAATGCCTAATCGCCGCACCACTGAGCCATCATCCATCGGAGTTATTATCTAACTCTGACTGATCTAGAGATTTTGCATGACCTCACCCATTTGTCTTTGGTAATTACTGTCTACACTCGACAGGGTTGAACTCCACTGAACACGTCTTCGCATTAGAACTCCGAAAATTTCCTCACGAAGCTAGCCACTAGTGAGCACGATTTTTCAACTTGAGTTATGGAGATTATTGTTTTTACACATTGAAATCAGCAATCAATCATTGTTCTTGCATTATTCTAATTCCTAACCCTATTTTGAACCAGAGAACTGGTCACTTTTAACTCTGCTCAAGATATTTTGATCCCCCCACCCGGCCAGTTACTCAGTAAAGCTAAAATATTGTATTGGATGGTGTGATTTAACAAGTATGTTCGTATATAGACAGGAGTGTCCCGAGATGTTATGATGTAATCAATTCATTTTGATGAATATATTTTTTTAAATATGCTTGTGCAGCCTCATTAGACGATATCACAGAAAAAGAACAGTTAGAATAAATGTTAGGATATTCATCCAATATCCAATATTGGTCAATTCTTATTGGTCAATTTTATGGTCTTACTAGATATTAATGTCACATACTTCAATGTTGTTTCTTATTGGTCATCCTGATTGTCACTGTCACAGACTAGGATGCTGTTCCCTATTCAACATAAATGTATAAATACGCATTATCTGTAACGTATTATGACCCGGATTCCTGCTCCGGGATTCTGATTCTCTTCTGGACTGGGACCTCCTACTTTCTGGATGCTTGTAGGATACATGTTCTACCTCATGTCAAGTCTTCTTCTTTCACTCAATGGGGGTTTGGGACACTTGGATTAGAGTAGCATGTCGTGTCGCCGGATCCTCGCTCTCGTTTTCCGACTAAGGTAAACTCGTAATAGTTTCAAGCATATCAAAATGACATGTTAACATGCATGCGTAACAATAAACCATCATAACACACTGTGTTGAAATCAAAAGAAAGGAATAATTTTTATCATCATCATCATAAATAATAATAATTCAAACAAACATTTGAACATGATTATTATTATCATGATTGCTTCATCAGTTTATAAAATAGAAATAATAAAAAAAACGAGTTTGTAATTAATGAAGTTGAAAACTTTAATACCGGGACTAATGAAAAAAAAAGTTGAAAAAAAAGCATTCTCTTTTCTAATCCTAACACCACATTCATTGATTGATTGATTGTATGAATCGATTCTTCAAAAAAAATTCCATCAAAATGAATAAAAGAGATAAAAGTTAATTATTATTATTATTATTATTATTATTATTATTTTCTGTTCTCTTTTTTTCCATAGCAACAGAAAAGAAAACAAAACAAACTTAAACAAACTATAAATTGATACAATAAAACAAGAAAGACAATTCAATGTTCCGATTGAAAATAATTCAAAAACATTGTATGACATGGATAAGAAAGAATTCAGAAAAGATGATTGTTAAAAAAAATAAGCATGAATTACATTTTAGAAAAAAAATTCAATTATTATTTATCATACATATGTAGATATCAGAAGTGGAAAAAAACAATTCGCTTCATTTAAAATATATTCTAAATGAAATGATTGTTGTGATTTAAAAAAAATGAACACAGGATAATACAATTAATTCTTTTGGTAGTTTTAAATCTAGAAATAAATAAAAAAAATAGCATAACATAGAATTTTGCTAAATGACAGAAATATGATTTAAAGAAAAAAAAAGCAATTTTATCGTAAAGTATAAAAAAAACTCATTTAATAATATTGTCTTAGATATAAATGGTTGTAATCACAGTTGAAATCGTGAACTAATTGTAGTTAGGCCGTCATTAAAAGCCTAGTAGTAGTAGCTTTAACCGAGAACGAGACAATGAACCAGTGACACGGTAGGCTACTCTGATCCGTTGCCTTAAAGGAACTGACGGAAAAGTCTTTATATAGCGTAGAAAGTGTATTCGACAAACACCCAGAAAACACAATGATCTCAAGCACACAAATCACGTTTTTTTAATATATCATAGAAACGTTCTTGGGAGTATCACAAAAATAACACAGTAAGTAACCAATCACAGCCAAGGATCTTCCTGATAGGAAATGTGATCTTAAGGTCAACTGATCAGCCTGTGAATAAAATCCAAAACTAAGACTTTTATCAAGCGAGTTCTGCGCATCTAACATCCCCAACATTCCTAAATATATTCGATCACGATTAAAGACTCCGATTATATAACAGGAAACAATTTTCATTATAATGAAATCAGCTTTATGTGAAGTTTACACCTTTCATCCTTCCAATTTTTTGCTAAACGATACGCCTGTGAGCAGGAATTCCCCGGGCAGTAGATATATACGCGTAGCCATATTACAGCAATTCAATAATTATTTCTTTTAATAAATACATAAGAAATTCGCTTCGTAAATACTATAACTCTCTCTCTCTATCTCTGTTCAACCAACCAATTTTATCCAATTTAATATCTATTGAACACATTGATCATTCACATTATTCAAATATTTTTCAATTTAAATGATTATAAATCATTGGATTGTTAGGATAATTAATAATAACAATAACAGTCAACCAACAATACATTATCCGAATAAATTTAAACAAGACAATTTAACAAATATGCCGCAATTCTATACGAAACCATTTAAACAATCAATCGGTAGTACTGGTAGTGTGCTTAATCAATCCTTAGCTCAACCGTTCATCTTGTCCTCAGAAATCCCCAATACTAATCTGTTATGATCATTAATAAACAGAGTTTTATTTTACAAAGCCACTAGAATTGCTTCTTTTTTTTATCATATTTCTGTCATTCATCAAAATTCTATGTTATACTTTTTATTTCTGCATGCAAAATCGTGAATGTGCATTGCGGAAGTGTTGAGCACTGAGGATGTGACGGCTATTGAAAGCTCTTAAGCTTTCGATTGTAGTCTAACTAACTGCGATTATAACGTATATCTTTGACAATATTATTAAATGAATTTTTTTTACACTTTAGGATAAATTAACTGGAAATTTAATTGGCAAAACGTGTATTATTTTAATCTGAAACTGAAATCGTCTATCCATCATATCAAATCTAAGTGTGAGTTATTCACAATACTTTTGGTTGATGAAATACACTAGAGTGTAATGTATTAAACTTATACAATATTCAGGAGTAATTGTAAATGTCTATATGCTTCTCATTGAAATCAATGTTTGTTAGTGCATGGATTTTTTTTTACGAGAAAATACACTGATATTATTTGAAGTTATGATAGATTAATCAGTTCAATATTGCCAACAAAAACGCATCAAAATGTAAGTATCTCTGATTAAGGATGAATAATTCCAGATACATAGATATGGTGAGTCATTTGCAATTTCATCTCATACCGATCCAAACCAATGAATATTTGTGCATACACGTACATACAAAGTGATATTGTGGTGCGCGCTACTTATAAGTAGTATATGACGCGAGTGAAGGCGTGATGTCTGGCAGCAGTAAATGGGGGAAGATCAAGAAAGGAAGAGTGGGAACACAATGGAATTTGTATGAAACGCATGAATAGTGAAATGTCAGACAATGGATTGATGATGGTTTGAAGATTCGCAAATTAACCGTTTACGATATGGTTTTCCTATTTTACTGATTAACTCTGTAATTCGCGATAAATACAATTCGGTTGCCCTCACCTGTGTTCTCCTTCACTACAATATCGGTGGGACGACTGCTTATATTAATTTCAAAAATCAAAATAATCACAACACATCACTGTGCAAAAATATAATTTAGCAAACAATTCAGTGTTAAACTTAATAATTCAAAAAAAAACTTATATTAAATACATTTTTTTGAAACCATGAATCTGGAAGCACTGACACACGCCCGTTTCGTCCTGGTATGGGACTCATCAGTGGCAGTGTGCATCCACGACTCCTGCACCCCGCAGGATTCCAACCCAGGACCTTCGGTATTGTGAGCGAATGACCTAACCATCGGACCACTGAGCCGGTATCTAACGGTGTTAATGTCTAACTTCAATCAATTCACGGAGTTGCGCAACCTCATACACTGTGTTCGGTAGTTACTGTCTACACCCGAACAGGTTGAACTTCACTGGTCTCCACCTTCTTCCCACTAGAACTCGGAGTGGGATTCCTCACGAAGTTAGTCACTAGTGAGCACAGGTAATTTGCATTACGGGATTGTTGTGAAGATTAAGGTTAAGTTACACATTGTTTTTTTTGAAACCATGAATCGATCAAATCGATCAAAATTTAAAATTACAATCAAATGTATAACATTGGCTTACTGTTGATATGATTGATCGATTATCTTTTGCACATACAAATTATTCCATTTGTTTGAATAGATTCCTTCTTAAAAGAACACCTTTACAATAGTTTTCTAATTGTCTTGAACTAGGCCCATCATCATCAATATATATCTCTGAATTATATGATGCATAATCAAGCGATAAACGAGGATTTTCATTTGAATCTGTAGTAGTTTTTCTTAAACTGGTTAATGAGTGTGTTTCATCATCACTATGATCATCAACCGAAGTGATTCTTTTACAGCCTGTAATTATTAGTATTTTATTAAAAGTTTTTTTGATAAAATGTCTGGTGTTTAATTAAATTAATTTTTTTTTTAAAAAAAAATTTAAAAATTATTTTTTTTAAACCGATTAGATTGCCAGAACTCACTTGGAAAAAAAAGGTCCTAATTTTGGATATTTTGTGTTTTCGTGCATGAACTATTCAATTGACCTTGAGATTACATTTCCCAGCCGGAAAATCCTTGACTGTTATTGGTTGATATATTATTTTTAGTACGCTATTTTCATGGCTCTACCAAGGACGTTTCTATCATGTATAAATAAACTCGATTTGTGTGCTTGTTGACCTCGTATTTTCCGGGTGCTTGAAGAACACATTCTCTATGCCTTATCAAGACTTCTTGATATAGTTAGCCGAGCAGGGGACAAACGGATTAGAATAGCTTATCATGAAACACTGCATCATTTGTCTTCGCTTTCATTTTTACCGAGTAAGGTGAACTTGTAATAGCAGTCAAGCATATCAATCGATGTACATATCACTTGTCTGCTTTTACATGTTGATAAAATGTTACGTCAATTCAATTATACATTTATGCAGTTTCACAGTGAAAATTATGATGTTACAAAATTTCCAATATATTTAAATTGTAGTAAAGAAGTATTAACCTATCCTGTTCTTTCGTACTACATTATATTCTTTAAAAGCATTCACTTGAAACTAGAATATTCAAATGGCTGTATTACGTTCGTCACTAGGTACGCTTGAAGTTATTATGAGTTCACCAGCGTCAGTGTAGGCTACCTTGAATCCCAAAACTGCAAAACAGAAGTCTTGGTAAACGTAGAAAGAATATTTCCACAAACACCCAGCAATCACACAATACAATCAAGCACACAACTCTCGTTTATTTATGCATCATAGAAACTTCCTTGGGACAGTCACAAAAATAGCGCTTTAAAATACACAGCAGTCATGGATTTTCCTGGTGGGAAACGAAATCTCAAGGTCAACTGATCAGTCCATGCTCGCAGACGTGAAATCCAAACTAAGGCATTTATCAAGTGAGTTCTGGGGATCTAACATACCCAACAGGCTGGAGATTAGTATCGAGTTTAGTTTGTCAATTAATTTCATTGAAAATGCGAAATATTAACACTTGAATTGTTTATCTTATTTTAATAAATAAAAATGCATCTGCGATAAATTGATAAATTATTATGCTTTTACTATGATGTAATATGGGTTATTTTCAGAAATGGCTTATTATTCATCACTCATCTGGATTATAAATCACGAATACCTACTTTTCATATTTAGTTTATGAATGTTATATAACGAAATGTTAACCTAAAACAAATTGACAGTTGTTCATTCGAAAATCAATGATTCAAGTTTAGGGACACTGGCATTACTGTTACTACTGCTGCTGACCTTATAAAGACAGAAGACAAGTAAAAGATTAGGATGTTTACAGATTTCAAACTTTTTTTTCTTCCTAACTAGTAATAACGTGCAGAAATTTTCTTGAATTAAACAACAAGTTTAATGTTGTTTCACCTTGAAATATTACCAAAAAAAGAACTTGGTAACATAGTTGATAAATTAGGAAACTTCATTGATGATAGAAAATATTGAATATGTGTTTAACTATAAATTCAGTTCTGGATGGAGAAGCCTTGGAGGACGTTCACACCTTTACATATCTGAGCAGCAGCATTATCGACAATCAAGGTGGATCCGATACAGATGTAAAGGTACAGATCGGCATAACAAGGGCTGCATTTATACAGTTGAAAAACATCTGGAACTCCAAACAACTTTCAACCAAAACCAAAATTAGGACTTTCAATACAAATGGCAAGACAGTTCAACTATATGGAGCGGAAAATTGGAGAACTACGAAAGCCATCATCCAGAAGATTCAAGTATTCATTAACAGTTGTCTTCGCAAAATACTTCGAATCCGTTGGCCTGACACTAGCAACAACCTATTGTAGGAGAGGACAAACCAGATTCCAGTGAAGTAGGAAATCAGGAAGCGGTGGAACTGGACAGGACACACATTGCAGAAAGCACCCAACTACGTCACAAGACAAGCACTTACTTGGAACCCTTAGGGTCAAAGGAAAAGAGGAAGGCCAAGGAACAAATTACGCCGAGAAATAAAGAAAGGTATGAGAAGAATGAACAAAAATTAGACAGAATCGGAAAGCGAAACCCAAGACAGAGTAGGTTGGAGAACACTGGTCGGCGGCCTATATTCCGTTGAAGGTGACAGGCCTGAGTGAGTAAGTAAGTAATAAATTAATTAATTATTAAAAATTAGGAAAATAAACTGAATCATTGCATTTCACCGATACTAGCTCATTGATCATTGATCAGTGGATTAAAACACATTTTTTGTTATGCAGTTAAAGAAATAATGTTTAGCCATAATAGTGAAATAGATTGTATGATCGATCTTATCACTTTCATTAAGAATTTGCACATATACAATTTGACTTAAGAGTTATTAATTCTCATCAACTCATTATGTAATCAGATACTTTCATAAACAATATAATGTATGACGATATGATCAAGATTGTTATGTTTTTCTGCGCATGCTCTTTAAGATTTATTGACTTTATCAACAAAATAGATAAATCATCAATCAATCATTGTTAGACGCCCATTACAAACCTGGAAGTACTGGACGGCCGTTGCGCCTGGTATGGGACCAGTGGAGTTCAACCCTGTCGGATGTAGGCAGTAACTACCAAAGACAAATGCGTGAGGTCGCACGAAATCCCTTGGTCAATCAGAGTTAGACAGTAACAGCGTTGCATGCCGGCCCACTGGTCCAATGGTTGGGCGTTCGCGCACAAGACCGAAGGTCCCGGGTTCGAATCCTACAAGGTGCAGGAGTCGCGGATGCGCACTGCCACTGATGAGTCTTATACCAGGACGAAACGGCCGTCCAGTGCTTCCGGATTTTTAATGGTGGTCTAACAATAATTGAATGATGATTTCAAATGTGTAAAAACACTAATCTCCATAACTCTAATTGAGAATAGATACAGTTCAAACTCTGTCTGATGTATAACAGTGAATTAAACAATCGCCATGTAATCATCTTCAAAACGAAAAACAAACATGTCAACTTATTGAAATACATTAAATTCATTGATTTCTATCACAACCATAACCATTTTTCATGTACATTTAAAAGGTAATCAACTTATATCAATGCTTATTCATTAAAATCAAAACACTTACAATATTGAATCTTTGAACAAATGAATTCAACACGTAAACAATATAATATCAATTTGATAATAGCTGTAATAGCAGAGAATGGTACTGGTAGAACAGGTCTATTACTATATTCTAATACAATGGAGAATATATTAAATTTCCATAATTCAATTGAATTCTCTTCAATTTTTTCAAATACATTACTGATTTGATGAAGAAGAAGAATAAAAACAAAGAACAAAGCACAAAGAGAAACATGAAACATTGTGATAGAAATACATATATATATATATATATATATATATATATATAGAATACATGCAAACACTTAAGAATGCTAAACTATCTCAACAAAAATGAATGGCAAGTTACACATTCTAAAATGACTAACAGTATATATGTATTTATAAGCTAGTTGATCTTAATAAATAGTATATTTTTTTCGATTTGAAGTTAGTTTTCCTTATCCATTGAAAAACTGATGCACTGAACAATTACATCGTCAAACTTATAAGCTATGATTAGTGTGAATACTCGATGATAATTGTAAGATCTATTTTTTCGAAGGCTTTGTTTGTGAAAATTCCTCCATGTTGTATACATTTGTAATTTGTCCTTATTAATTCCTTAGTTGTATATTTTGTAAGTCTGTTCGATTCCATTTTGAGATGATAATATTTGTATTTCATCATAGTTTCTATTTCATTTGCTTTTACTGAGTTTCCATGTTTCTTTCTGAAGTGCATTTATGGTGTTTAAGCTGATACTTAATCATGGCGACAGCCATATTGATTTGTTCCTCTTTTTATTGTGTCGGTTGCTTGCTTGGACTGGAATTGTGCATTTTGATTGTGAATTGAAGCACTTTTCCAGAATAGGAAACACTCAGTGTCATAAAGCAACCCAATATTTCCTGTCGAACGAATCTATCCTGGAGGAATAGAATATCATTTATTTGTTGCTATTGATTTGATTAATTTAACAATTGTTGGTAGGAAAGCTGTGGCAATATTTTTTAGGTAATGATGTATGTTTCTATTTATGATGAATATTAGAACCGTTATTTACCCAAATCACTTGTTTTGGTTATAAACTGAGCAAGGCGCTTATCTAAACTACTTAGACAGTTATTCCTCAGTCCAAACCTCAGTTTGGAGTCTACACCCAGGCAAGATGCGGATTGCTGATCTGTTTCATTGTAGGACTAAACAACTGTCCAATTTTTTCCGATTCCAAAAATAGTTGTTTAGGAACATTTCGTGATTGAAGGCTACGAGAAAACTTCACTTACTTTGCGTATAACAGATTAGTGGCAGTGAATTTTATTGGAATAAAAGTTTCCAAATAGTTGACAACAGTGGAAACTTCAGTTTCATCTTATCATTTTTTTTGTACAAGGTTATGAAATTCATAACATTTACAAGACAGAGAAAAAAACAATTTAGCTAGAATTATTTTCTACAAACTATTAGCATCAGTCTCATGTAAAATGATATTATCAGATGGCAAACTATAAGAAAATTAAATACATTCGTACATAAGACCTTTTTCTGTGCTAAAACACTTCATCAGTATAAATATGCACAATCCAAGACAGATCTAAACTTATTCTTCTTTTATTAAACTATACAGTTGAATTACAAAACTATCGATATCATTAGGTAAAAACATCATCAGTGGTTATTTTATGCGTTTATTGCTTGTTTATCTTGTAAACAATAATCTTGTAAACACATAACTATGCCGAACTGTAGAGAAGGATGTAGTTCTAATTGAAAGAAATATGATTAGTTGACTTTCAAACTTTTCATCACTTTAGAGCCCTCCTTTATTTCTCTGTAATTTTATTCCCATAAAAAATTAATTCATAAAAAATAAAAAATGGCTTTGTTGGGGATGTTAGATCCCCAAAATTCGCTTGATAAATGCCTGATTTTGGGTTTCACGTTTGCCAGCATAGGCTGAACAGTTGACCTTGAGATTTCATTCCCCACCAGCAAAATCCATGGCTGTGATTGGCTGCTATGTATTTTAGTGTGCTATTTTTGTGACTGTCCTAAGGACGTTTCGATGATGTATAAATAAACGAGAGTTGTGTGCTTGATTGTATTGTGTGACTGCTGGGTGTTTGTAGAATATACTTTCTGCGCTTACAAAGCCTTCTATCTTCAGCTTGCGATTCAAGGTAGCCTATCTGGACGCTGGTAAAAGTCTCGTTTGCGTTTATCGACTAAGGTAAACTCGTAATAGCCTCAAGCATACTTAGAGACGAACCCAATAGGCTTAAAAGTGTATAATTTACCTGAATATTGCAATCAATAGATTGATCAATAAGATTCCAGCAATCATTAAATAAACAGCTAAAAATAATGGACTTAAATAATTTGGCATTGGACATTCTGAACTCAATATACCAGCATTTGTACATCCTTCTTTTTCAGCTAGATATATATATATATAATAAACAATTTGCAAGCAAAAACAAAAACATTATCAGAAAAATAAAGACAATAGGAGAATTATGTAGCAGTTGAATGTTAATAGTGTTGTATAATTCATATAATTTCTCTAAATGCCCTACAAACGGCCAGAGAGTGTACAGAGTTCATTCTGCTTTGTCATATATATTCTCAGGTGGCTACACGTTTGGATAGCGCCACTGACAGAGAAGTCCTACTCACTGCACCTGCACCACTGTAGTGTTGTTAACTGAAGTGAGAAGAATAAGAGTGAATCTCCGACAGTGGTTTAAACCTGGTTGGTTGGTTGGTTGGTATGGAGGAAGAGTTGGAAAACATTGACTCCAAACAAACCGTGCAAATGAGCTCCAGGATCCTGAGGGAACAAATGGTGCATAAACCTATTATTAGTCGCTGGCTACAGTAAGAGCACATTTTCTGACGCTATTCCACTGCATTGTGGGATAAACCACTAAATCAAAGCCTCGTGATACGGCCTCCCTTAAGAAAACCACCTGCCTAGGTTTGGGAACTCGGACAGTCTCCTAACCCACTTAAAAATGTAATTATTTATATGAAGCATAAATACTTAGGTGTCTCTTTGTATATATATATATATATATATATATATATATATATATATATATATATATATATATATATATTATATGAGTTATGAATTTAATTGCTGTGTTGTGTTCGATTTTGATTAACGAACAAGCGAGAATGGGCGAGCTGCATTCTGGACCAATGGTGGCCAAGTATTGTTTTCGGTTGTTATCTCACTATAGTTGTGTTACTGGTTAGTAGAATATTATTGATAACATATAGGCAATCTAGGCAAGATGACAAATATACGTATTAGATTGGAAAACTATTCGCTTGTAATTACACCTACATCACACAGGTCTGAGGCAGTAGATTTATAGAACGATAGTATTCCTAGGAAAACAATAATCCATCATTCATCTCTAATAATATAGTTTAATATCTATTCGACTGAATTCGGGAAATCGCACATTACTAATTTTAACATATTGTACGGCTAATATAGGCTGAAAATTGGAAACAGAAAACACAATGGTCTTACTGAGATCCTGTAAATTTTCTTAAACTAAAATTATGTTTTTCCTTCTATTCAGATTAATTAATTGACATGATTCGTTACTATCATTTAATACGTTCAGTTTAAAAGCATTTTACGTCACGTACGTATGTATGACTAATACTATATATATTCAATTAAGGCCTAAAACATTCACACTACTTTTAAATTTGATAGTAACTCATATTTTCTAACTAAAAATAAATGAAATTATTTTGTCCGTTGGAAGATGACATGAACAAAAAAAATAACCAATTACGTGACAACAATTAAGATTACTTCATAATATTTTTCCAAAGGAATCTTGTTAAGTGGAAACAGAGGCTATTAAGAAACCAGTTAAAAATTTTTTACTATTTTATAACTATTTTCGATCTTATAATTCAAGAAATATGTTTTTAGGTTACTTTAAGAAATAATTGATCAAGTCATTTTGAAGATGAATTTTGCTACAATCATTGCAAATCCAAGCCAAAAAATTATCAAGTACATATTTGTGTACTTGGCTTTTCCCTACATTAAGTATCAAAGCTAGTGAGACTACTAGGTTTTGAACCTGTGACTCAGTGGTCAAGCAAATACACTACCGCTGCTCCACGTGAAATAACGAATACTGGAAGAGTCGTTTGGTTTCAATTTAGAATATAATAGAAGTACACAGCGAACACCTACGCAAACAACCGGATCCAGGACTTTCAATACTATTCAGTTAGACTAGTGAATGTCAGTCCCTTATATAATGGTAACAGTACGTAAGTCTCTCTCTATATATATACTTCATGGTAAAGAATAAGGTAATTAGTAAATTAACATTCTTAATTAAACAGATTATTCCTAAACTATTTAAAAAACTCATTCAATAAAAACTTACCAAGTGCATATTCCAACATCAATTCACCGTATAAATTCCAATAAGGATAATAGAATATATCACGTAAAGTTTGCAATGAAAAATTAGCACGATATGGATAAAGTAATACTTGTTGTGATACACCATAACTAACCAATACAACAACAAGAATGAATATAAACATTTGTAATTCAATAAGCATACTTTGTATCATCACTAATTTAGGACCTAAACGTGGATGATGTGAATAGAGACTGTAGACTTTTAAATAACAACCAACCACTAGATGAAAGAAAAAAAGACATGAAAAAAAAGAAATATCTTGAAATGAATAATAGTAAAATATAATAGAAACATTTATACAGTGTAGACTACTATGATAAGCCTATATGGGTTATTTTAACTTATGGACAGAGCAATTAGTTTATCCTTCTTGAGCCGTTATCCAAACATCACCTGACCTTATCGACTATTCGCTTATAATATTGACTATTTTTATTTACATTACGGGATTGTGAAGATTGAATTGATCAATCTGTCTACTGTCTACACCCAAACAGGTTAAACTTCACTGGTCACGATTTCCCACTAGAACTCGGAGAAGATTCCTCACGGAGCTAGTCACTAGTGAGCACAGGTAATTGCATTACGGGGTTGTGAAGATTGTTAAGTTACACATTTGAAATCATGAATTGATCAATGTTAGACCACCATTAGAAACCTGGAAGCACTGGACGGCCATTTAGTCTTGGTATGGGACTCATCAGCAGTGCGCATCCACCGGCTCAGTTGTCCAGAGCTTGGGCGTTTGCGTACAAAACCTAAGGTTTTGGGTTCGAATCCTGCAAGGTGCGGGATTTCACTTTATATCATTTATATGATATCCTTTATCTTATTGATAGGATAATAATAGGTTACCAAATTTCATATCAATTATGACATTGAAGATTTGAATTATCCCATTGTTTACATGCGAGACAGAGTTTCGATCGATTTTCAATAGAATAAGTGTCCCGATATAACCATTTCATTAGATGAATTGTGGCTATGAATGCAATCTGGACTGTGCTAGCAAAGACTGGGCAAAATTCAGTTCAGAATATCAACTAATAGAATGATTCAAACTCTTACTAATCATTATGTACACAAGGTACTGTGTATTTTTTGAATGACGCGTTAATTTGTGAAATAAAAGGTATTGGATTCAAATACCAGTGTAAACCTTAATACTAGCAAGTAAGATACATCCAGCTAATAAGTTTGTAACTGAAGAAAACACGCTATCTAGGTTATACTGATAGTCAAAATACAATATTATTTATGAAGTAGTTAATGTTCCGAGTGAAAAGTATGTGTTTCTTGTATACACATGACTGATAAAAACAACATTTTATTGCATTTATTAACAAAAACCCTAGTTTAGTATGGCGGTACATACTTCAAGTTGTTAGTTGCGTTAATTTATCAGTAACATTAGATAGCCACGCACCTCTTACTAAGTTCTCACATCATTCAAATTTAACATAATTAGTATGAATTTTTCAATCCAGACTTATGATTAATAATGTTAAGTAAAACAAATTTTCGATTCATTTAAAGAAAATATTCTGTAGTAAACTAAAATATAGATTATGTATTTGTTAGTCTTAATAATCATAAAGTAAAGTAGATCGGATCTGAAGATGATTGCTAATTTAGTTGGCTTAACTTATACTGATGAAATCACACGGTATGTATTGGAAATTCCATTTTCACAGTCAGTGACTGGCACAAACTGAGCAATCCAAATGTACAAGTCAAATAAAACAACAAGCGTATTGTAGATGACTGAAATAAAACTCAAATCATCAGCCTGATAGATTTAATTTTGAATAATACCTTGAACTATATTAAACTCAGATGATTACATAATACTAAATAGGCTCCAGTGAAGCAACTTGTAGGAACATGAGATTTCGTTTTATTTTAAGCGCGTTTTACTAGTTTTTATTTCTTGACTTTCGATCCAATAACATATCAACATGACTGAGTGAAAATGAAGTACGAACATTTTTTTATTTGACACAAATGGTCAGATGTTTGAAGATAGCATTGGAACTAACCAGTATTGATTATTGATGATGAGTTGTTCCAACACGAAAGAGATGTTCTTGTCAGTTAACTGACTAATAAAAGATGGCTACAGAAACATATTCTAAAATACTTGACACGTTTACGACTCATCTGTGTTAACTCAAAATTATACTTAAAAGGATATGGTAAGCTTCAGTCAGTCAGTTGCAACGTAGAACTTCGTACGTATGTACATAAGATCATGTTGCCATATCACATTAACACAGAGAAGCAAATGTCAAATCAAATCTCATAGTGATAAAGATAGCAGAGGTATTTATGGTAATGAAGAATACTAAGGTTCGAAGATATTATTCAAGAAGTATAATTCAGTGAGATAAGGTTACAAAGACAAACGTAGAGGTGCTAACGAATCCAGAAGATTAGGATTTGAGAGAACACAACGAATGAAAGCACTTGCGCCATTGCAAACGATTTTGAGCCATGTCATTCAAGGTCTCTAACCACCAGTGACTTTCGTCTCGCGGACCCCAACCAGATAGCCAACATCTACCAACATGACGCAGTCCACTTGTCAGTGACTTCATGAATTTTTACCATGTTTTGGTCTGGCCGCACCTAGCTTTTTTCCAACCTACTACTACACCACAAAACATAGCTCGTCGAGGCAGTCGGTGGTTAGGCATTCGTAACACATGTCCCGACCACCTCAACTGATGAAGTTTCACCACTTCATCTATTGATCTGCCATCCTTACCTAGCACCCGTTTCCTAACGACAGCATTGCTTACTTGGTTGTCCCACGGTATACGAGCAATGCTTCTTAAACATCTATGATCGAATACTAGTAACCTACGAACATCTTTTACTCTTAATGGCGATGTTTCGCATCCATATAAGAGAACGGAGCGAACTGCTGCGCAGTACACCCGTCCTTTAGTCAGCAAACGGATATCACGCCTACGCCATAAGTGACGCAGGTTGGCAAAAGCCAATCGAGCCTTCTGTATCCGAGCTGAGATTCCGTCAGTCACCAAGCTATCAGCGCTGATGAGACTACCCAGATAAGTGAAGTGATCAACACGCTCGACTACTTCACTCCCTATCACTAGTTCAGGTACCGATGCAACCCAGTCTTGAAGCAACACTTTGCATTTCGAGGAAGAAAACCGCATCCCGAACATGCTCGCATTGTTGCTTATGGTAAGCTTACTGATACTTTATGAAAGTGATATAATTTTTAATGAGTAAACAATTTTCATGTTATTATATTTAAAATATTTAGTCGACGTAAATAATATATTTATGAAATATCGTAACATAAATTGATTTATAGGAGTGTAGATAATTGTAAAACTCCTCCTGGAGCATTTCTGAGGTTACTGTAGGTCCCAAGTCAGTATAAAGGAGGGGGGTTTAGCATGAAGTTAGCGACCTCATTCTGTAGAAAACCAACTTGCTAAAAAAACGCTAACTGGAATCAATAATTCATAACACTTATACTATGCCCTAGGAGTTGGAAGGTCCTCATTGAGGAGAGTTATGGCGCTTCCTGATGAAAGCCAAATTTCTTCGGAAGTCACGAGGTCGGCTAACCCTTCTGACAATCAGAGCAACAATTAGCATAAATAAATTAATAAAATTATGACTGTAAACATGCACTGCGTCGAAGATAAAAATGACTTCTTTTGTATAGCTTCAATAACGATAAATTCTACTTTGAAATTGAAAGATATAATTTGTCAGCGAAATAATTTTGTTACAAATTAGAACTTGTACGCATATAACATGTAATACTTAGACAATACAATTAGTTTTGTTTAGAATATGTGCAAGATGATTCATCAAATAATCGATAACAAATCAGCATATCACTAATGTATGTGGTGATTAAAGATTCTTCAATTTGAAGTAAGTTTTCCTTATCCATTGAAAAACTGATGCACTGAAGAATTACATTGTCGAAGTTATAAGCTATGATTAGTGTGAATACTCAATGATTATCGACTAACGCCTTTTTAGTTCGCCAAAATCCATGTGAGGCAAGAAGGGTAAAGAGGCATAAAGTATAAAAATAGTCAATAACAGATTCTGGAGAACACGACCAGTTTAGTAGCAGCCTCTGCAGAAGTAGGTCTCAATAAACACAAAGACAAAAGCAAGATCCTTCGATAAAACACAACATGCACTAACCACATCACATTTGACGGATAATCTTCGAAAGGTGTGGGAATCTTTATGTACCTGAACAGCATCTATGATGAGCAAAGTGAATCTGATGAAGATTTGAAGGCACAGATCGACAAAGCAAGGACAGTGTTTCTACAACTGAAAAACATCAACCAACGAAGTCAGAATTTTCAACAAAAATCCCAAGAATGTATGGGGTGGAAACTTGGAGAACTGCGAAATTTACCTTGCAGAAGATTCAAGTATTCAAAAACAGTTGTCTCCGCAAAATACTTCGGATTCGTTGACCAGACACCATCAGCAACAATTTACTGTGGGAGAGAACAAATCAGATTCCAGCAAAGGAGGAAATCAGGAAGAAGTGGTGGAAGTAGATGCGGGACACACTGCGAAAATCACCAAACTGCGTCACAAAACAATCACTCACTTGGAACCCTCAGGGTAAAAGGAAAAGAGGAAGACCAAGAAACGAATTTCGCCGAGAAATAGAGAAAGACTTGAGAAAAATGAACAAAAATGGGAAAAAATTGGAAAGAGGAGCCCAGGACAGAGTTGCTTGGAGAAAACTAGTTGGCGAATTATGCTCTGTTGGGGGTAACAGGAGTAAGTAAGTAAAGTAAGTTATACATATATATATACATTATATCATCAACTTACATGTTATAACATACAATGATTTAGCATAGATAAATGTCGTACTGAGGCCTATGCGTAACAATGCACTGAATAAACCCATACAGACTAAAAATAAATCATATTTATTCCAATATAAATCATCCCATTGATTAGATAATAGATCGAATTTTCCATTACAAGATTGAAAAACCTGAAGAAGGAATAAGAATGTAGAAGTCAAAGTATTATTATTCAAAATGAACACGGTAAACTTGTGAGTAGCCTTGAAATTGTCGCATTTTTCAACTGGATACAAATGAAACAGCATACGGTAAAACGTAGAACACAGTCAAAAATCTAAAAACTGACATCTAAAATCTTTCTAGTTCTTCCCTACTTGTACATAACTGTACTTAGCTACTGGTGTTGTTCAGAAAGACTATTAAATCTTCGCAATTAAACCATCTCTTACATAATAAATCCTCTGTATGACTTAACAACTAGTAATCTTTTACACTAACACTTTTTGCAGTTGTTGTTGCGCCCACTGTTACGTTTTATAATTTAACAAAAAAAAACTGAAATCTCAATAGCGCCATAGATGATCTGGATTTCCATTAATTCACTTTGGCTTTTACCATACATGAACTGATCTCATAATTCACGTCGTCAAAAGCAATTGCACAGCTACTAAAATATATGAAACTGTCAACCACTCACTATCGAGAGTAAGTACAGGCACACAATCCTGTTAGTCTTGCAAAAGTGCTTTAACACTTAGGTGCAAAGCACACAATGTACCTACGGAAATGGATTTCCAAGTGAATTAGTCGAAACTGTTTAGTTTGGTTATCTCCACACAAACCGGAAATATTATAGGCATAATCGAGGTTGAGTTGCTTTCTTCAGGTAACAGTTGCGCACCAACGTTACTCAGAACTATTATCAGAATGTCATCAATGGTAAAGTTTAGAAGGAATAGTAGAATTGACTAGCCCTCCATAACTTTATTGTTTGAATGAAATACTCTTCTTGAGGCGGTTCTATACAGATACAGTCTACTTTAGCAGAAAATTTCATAGAACAGTGCATTCCAACAAATAGAAGGTAGATCGGATGTCAAGAAATATAACAATTGTCAGCTTTCAATAATACTGGTAGTACTCAAGCATTGGACAGACGCTGCGAAGATGATTAATACATTGTTTACTAGAACGAAAAGCAGCCTGCCTGTCAAGAAGCCGTATAGTATCTAATGAGTTTAGAATGGCCTGCGAAGTATGACAGAAGCCATGAGTTTGGATACAGTTGAAAAGAAACTTATCCTTGAATAGTTGTTGTATGCACAACGTAGACTGTTTAAAGATAGGGATAACTATTAACTCATTGCAGAATATTTGAATAATTTCCAGTTTTGAAACTTTTCTAAACAGTACATTCAGTTCACAAACCAGAAGTTCGTCATCATCCTAAAAAATGATTATGAGTTAGTCAACTGTTTGTATATACCGATGCTTCCTGTGTTTATTTACCAGTTGACTACAAAAACAATTGTGAAAGTGAACATAAGTTAGTGTTAACAAGAACACTGGATAAAAAGTATTACTGCACGGTGAAATGAAAACCTATTGGTAACTTTAAACTATGATATATTTAAATAGGATTGATAGACTGTTTGGTATAATGGTTCTAGTGTGTAACTTCATTTAATAAAATCACTTTGCTACGTAACTGTTATTAACTCCGCCAGTAGAACCTTAGGGGCTACTGCCGGTCCCAAGCCCGGATAAAGGAGGAGGGTTGGACATGGGGTTGGCGGCCCCATTCCGTTGAAATCTAACTTGCCAAAAAACGCTAACCAGAAAAAATAATTCAAACCATTTTAACTCTGCCCTGGGAGTTGGAGGAAGAATTATGACGTCTCGTGATGAAAGCCGAGTCCCCTCGGAAGTCACGGGGCCGATGCCTCTTCTGACAACCAGAGCAACCATTTTTTTAGGTACATGGAACGTTCGTACATTGTGGGAGACTGGAAGACTATTTCAAGTTGCGGCAGAAATGAAAAGATACAACCTCGAGGTGCTCGGCATCAGTGAAACACATTGGACACAGGTAGGACAACTGAGACTTGCTTCAGGGGAACTGCTGTTATACTCTGGTCATGAAGAGGAAAACGCTTCACATACACAAGGAGTTGCACTGATGCTGTCCAAACATGCACAAAAAGCACTGATAGGATGGGAATCTCATGGACCCAGGATCATTAAAGCATCCTTCAAAACAAAGAAACAGGACATTACAATGAACGTCATCCAATGTTATGCACCTACCAATGACTACAATGACGACGTTAAAGATCAATTCTACGAAAGGCTGCAGTCAGTCGTCGATAAATGTTCACCAAAGGATTTGACGATTCTTATGGGAGACCTGAACGCCAAGGTTGGAATGGACAACACTGGATATGAAGACATCATGGGACGACATGGACTGGGAGAAAGGAACGAAAACGGTGAGAGATTTGCAAACCTATGTGCCTTCAACAAACTGGTCATCGGTGGCACAATATTCCCGCACAAACGCATTCACAAAGCCACATGGATTTCACCGGACCACACTACTCAAAACCAAATTGACCATATCTGTATCAACAAAAAGTTCAGAAGGACCATGGAGGATGTGAGAACCAAGAGAGGAGCTGATATAGCTTCAGATCACCACTTGCTGATCGCCAAAATGAGATTGAAGCTAAAGAAGCACTGGACAACGGGGCAGACAACATCACACAAGTTTAATACGGCCTTTCTTCGGGATACCGTAAAACTCAACGAATTCAAGATAGCCCTCACCAATAGGTTCCAGGCCTTTCAGGATCTACTCAATGGAGAGGAAGCAACATTGGAGAACAATTGGAAAGGGATTAAGGAGGCAATCACTTCAACATGTCAGGAGGTCCTTGGTCGCAAGAAGCAGCATCATAAGGAATGGATCTCTGTTGATACTCTCGCAAAAATTGAAGAAAGGAGGAACAAGAAAGCAGCAATCAATGTCAGCCGAACAAGAGCGGAGAAAGTTACCGCACAAGCTGCATACACAGAAGCAAACAGGGAAGTGAAGAAGAGCATCAGAGCTGACAAACGAAAATATGTGGATTATCTAGCAATGACGGCGGAAAAGGCTGCAAGAGAAGGAAACTTGAGACAATTGTACGAAACTACAAAGAAGCTCGCCGGAAACTATCGTAAACCAGAACGACCAGTGAAAAGCAAGGAAGGGAAAATAATCAGCAACACTGACGAACAGCGAAATAGGTGGGTGGAGCACTTTAAGGAACTATTGAATCGACCAGCTCCACTGAACACACCCAACATCGAAGCAGCATCCACGGACCTCCCAATTAATATTGGCGCACCTACGATTGAGGAGATCAGTATAGCCATCAGACAAATCAAGAGCGGCAAAGCAGCAGGACCAGACAACATTCCAGCAGAGGCAATGAAAGCAAATGTGGAAGCAACTGCGAAAATATTTCACATTCTCTTCAAGAAGATTTGGGATGAGGAACAAGTACCATCAGATTGGAAAGAAGGATACCTGATCAAAATACCAAAGAAAGGCGATCTGAGCAAGTGTGAAAACTACAGAGGCATCACTCTTCTTTCAATACCAGGCAAAGTCTTCAACAGAGTATTGTTAAACAGAATGAAGGACTTCGTAGACGCCCAACTTCGAGATCAACAGGCCGGATTTCGTAAGGATCGATCGTGTACTGACCAAATTGCTACATTACGGATCATTGTGGAACAATCAATTGAATGGAACTCACCACTCTACATCAACTTCATCGACTACGAGAAAGCATTTGATAGCGTGGATAGGAAAACACTGTGGAGGCTTCTTCGACACTACGGTGTGCCTGAGAAAATAGTCAACATCATACGGAATTCTTATGATGGATTCAACTGCAAAATCGTGCACGGAGGACAGCTAACCGACTCTTTCGAGGTGAAGACCGGTGTCAGGCAAGGTTGCTTACTCTCACCCTTTCTCTTTCTCCTGGTCATCGACTGGATTATGAAGACGTCAACATCTGGAGGGAAGCACGGTATCAACTGGACAGTTAGGACGCAGCTGGACGATCTGGACTTCGCAGATGATCTGGCTCTTCTATCGCGCACCCAACAACAAATGCAAGAGAAGACGACCAGTGTAGCAGCAGCCTCTGCAGCAGTAGGTCTCAACATACATAAAGGAAAAAGCAAAATTCTCCGATGCAACACAACATGCACCAATCAAATCACGCTTGATGGAGATACCTTGGAGGACGTTAACACCTTCACATATCTTGGCAGCATCATCGACGAGAAAGGTGGATCGGATGCAGATGTGAGGGCGCGGATTGGCAAAGCGAGGGCTGCATTTCTACAGTTGAAAAATATCTGGAACGCCAAACAGATATCAATCAACACCAAAATAAGGATTTTCAATACAAATGTCAAGACAGTTCTACTGTATGGAGCGGAAACATGGAGAACTACCAAAGCCATCATCCAGAAGATACAAGTGTTTATTAACAGTTGTCTACGCAAAATACTTCGTATTCGTTGGCCAGACACCATCAGCAACAACGAACTGTGGGAGAGAACAAGTCAGATTCCAGTGGAGGAGGAAATCAGGAAGAAGCGGTGGAAATGGATAGGACATACACTACGAAAAGCACCCAACTGCGTCACTAGACAAGCCCTCACATGGAACCCTCAAGGCAAAAGGAAAAGAGGAAGGCCAAGGAACACACTACGCCGAGAAATAGAGAAAGATATGAGAAGAATGAACAAACATTGGACAGAACTGGAGAGGGAAGCCCAGGACAGAGTTGGTTGGAGAAAACTGGTGAGCGGCCTATGCTCCATTGGGGGTAACAGGCGAAAGTAAGTAAGTAACGTAACTGTTATTAAATTTTGTAGGCATCATGTGTTATCTCATTACCTGTAAAGTTGAAAAGAATAATTCATACATACAACAGACCTGGATTCAGTAAGTAAACATATATAAAAATGAAACTAACCTGTTGAATCATGTCGATTAGTTTTGCATTAAAATATGCAATAACAATTGATTCAGAAATGGAAATTCTATCCGGTAATGTTTGAAATAGTAATGTATATGAAAAATGCAATAGAAATATCACATAGACAAGCTGAAATAGTTAGTTGTTTTTTATTACAGAGAAAACAAAAAGAAAGAATAGAGTAATACAATTAAATTACAAACAATAGTAAAAGTAAAAATAATTCAAGTTACTCACAAACATAAACTACGTACTATCACGTAAAAGCCGATACACTATTGGTTGAAGAAGCAGTTTTCTGGTGCATCAGAGTTTTGTTCAGCTTTCTAACGGATATAAACATATTCATTTTACACAAATTGTGCCCTAGTTATTTCAAGTCTTTTGACCTAAATACCGATATCAGAATAGGAAAACAGAAAAAAAGTACACTAACTTGACGGTAAGCGAGTAAGTTATGCAATTCTCTTCCCCATCGATACCTTTTGGTTGTTCTTGATGTAACAGGGGAAAGAATGAGATTTGATAGTTGTGGGTGAATTGATTCCATTGAAGACTAGATGACTTCTAGGTGCATTATCCTTCAGTCATTTATTTGTTAAATAACTTTTACTCATGTATATGCTTTTGATTAATATTTTTTGACAAACTCTGTTATTTTATTGGGAAGAAAATGCATTTCCTTCTCGTTAATGTACTACTCTTGAAAATTCCAATCAACCTCAACACAAGTTAATAACACTTGTAGAGATAGGAAGTGGTTAGTAGTTAGTCACACATGTTCCAACTCCTTCAATCGATCAACACTCATAGCATCAAAAATCGATTCGATAACTTAACCTTGAATCTTACGAATAACCACAGCATTATTCACTTGGATGTCCCGACATCGGCGAAGAATATCTACTATCCATAAGAACAGAAAATATTCATGTTCATCAATTCATGTAGAACAGTCAGTAAACCCACAATCCAAATACGATTACTGTCAAATACGCATGCACTTAATGAAATGTTACATTGTATTGATTCATTCAGTTTCAATCACTGTCTGAACTACCGGTATTATCGATTGGCATCACTTTAAAATGGTATACATATGTAACTGATCTAGTCTCTGTTGTTAGTGAAGTTTCATAGCATTAAAAATCAATGTAACATCGTAAACAGTCTTACTGTTTATTTAAAAATAATGTATATATAGGTACGGATGTTGATATTACACGAAAATTGTTTATTGAATATTATTAATTTTATTCAATCACATTCAATGTACGTTTTTATGTAAAATGATAAAAAATATTTATTGATTAGATAAACTAATCCGATGATAAGAATACGCTAATATTTTTGTACAACTTTGTAAAATGAAACAAAACAGCATACTTTGAACTATATGCGAAAAAAATGCGGAGAATGTTTATTTAATTAAACAAATTGTTTTTCTACATTTTACATAAAAACGTGATTTTTACGCGTCAGATGAAAAAGACCAAAAAATGAAAATGATAAAACAACAGCGGTTTGGCATTCGGTCCTGGGTTCGAGTCCTGAGAGGTGCAGGCGTCGCGGATGCGCACTGCCACTGATGAGTCCCATACCAGGACGAAACAGCCGTCTTTCAGTGCTTCCAGGTTTCTAATGGTTTGTCTAACAATGATTGGCTGATGATTTCAAATGTGTGAAGAAACACTAATCTCCATAACTCTAATTGAAAATAACTATCTATCTGTATTTTTACAATTACCAGTCAGACAGAGATAATTAAAACACCGTAAAATTTTCTATCTAAACAAACAAACAAGCAAACGAAAAGAATACACTACAGTTTCTATTTGTTCTGTCTCTTTTTACCTACAAATACTGATATACTAACTAAATAAATGTGTAAGTAAAAAATACAATTTTAAATGACACAACAGTAGCTAATGTATGAGTAATTTTAGACAGAAAAATAAGAATATTTTTTTCGTGTTGTTGTACTTTACGGTTTAACCTTTTTCACATTAGTGTATAAAATAGCCAATCATATGACTGATAGTTCAATGTGTCAGACATGATGACCTTAGACACGTATGACCTTGACGCAAACCAGACCTACGTAATTAAACAGTAGGTTTGCAAAGAAATGACGATAATCTTGCTACAACTAAAACTGAGCTTGGTTATCATCACTAAAATACTAGCGATTGATAGTATGATGCAACAACCAGAAGCTATTAGTACTAAAATGATTTATTTTAACATTTGAAGCGATAAATTATTCTGATTTTTTCAATTTGTTCTGTCACTTACAGTAGTTATTCATGTCAATTACCTTTGTTTAACCTTGACCATGTACGTAGATGTCTACCCATTTTTTTTTCTTATTCTCTTTACATTACTTACACTTTATCACTAGACACTAAGGCTAATTTCAATTGTTCGATCTTTGTTTGTTTGTTCGTCTGCTGTTCCATATTACTTACTATATCTAAACTATGTCTAGCTTCAATATACAACGGACTTAGGATAAATCATTGTTTTAAACATGTTGAATTGGCACAACATATACGAAGTCAAATGGAATATATATGATGTGTCTTACTATCATTAGGATTGGCTATATTGATGTTAGACAGTTACACAATAAACCAAATCATATTGAATGATAAAATCAAGGTTTTCATCATTATGCATTTTAGAATACAGCTATCAGTTTACATAAAATATTAATGATGGATATCATATAAACAGAAATATTATGGATTATTCATATACTTTTGAAATAAAAATGTAAAAAAATCTTCATAATTCATCTTTAGTAAGTATATAGTATTATGTGAAACACAGGCTATTGAGTGATACAAAACAAAAAATCAATACTATTAATATAAGTGAGTAGAAAACAATTTTCGATGAATAATAATTTTTTATTTGATTCAATGAAGCACATTTAAAGCATTTGTCATTCATAGATCAGGTGTTGTTTTTCATATTAGTTTCTCAGATGCATTTAGAGAAAAAGATGAATTATTTCTTGTTCAGTTAAATTTTTTGAAATTAGATATAAATAGTCAGTTAATGTTGCTTAGAAACCAATCTTATTTGAGACTCGTTAACAGTATGCACCTGGATTAATTCCAACATTAACATGTTATCTACTGAGAAACTTATTGAGTTCACATAGCCTGTACAAACGGTATACAGGCTATCTATCTTGTAACCACAGAACGAGTGTACTGCGAGGTAGTTCGCTACGTTCTACTTTATGGATGCGAAACATAGACAGTTAGAGTAGAAGATATTCCATCATAAGTGTCTCCGAAGCATTGCTTGTGTATCGTAGGACACCCGAGTAAGCAATGATGCCATTAGGAAGCGAGTACTACTAGGTAAGGGTGGCTCGACTGCTTCGTCGAGCTATGCTCTGCGATGTACGAACAGGTTGGAAGAAACCTAGGGGCAGCCAAACCAAAACATGACACAAATTCATGAAGTCACTGACAACTGGATTGAGTCATGTCAGTAGGTGTCGACTACCTGGTTGGGGCCCGCGAGATGACAGTAATCGATGGTTAGAGTCATTGAATGACATGGCTCAAAATCGTTTGCAATGGCGCAGGTGCATCCATTCTTTGTGTTCTCTCAAAACCTGACCTTCTGAATTCCTCATCACCTTTATCTTTTTGTTTTTTAAGTTTATTTCACTGGATTATACTTATTGAATAATATCGTCGAACCCTAAAATTTCTGATTGCTGGTAATACTTCTACTACCTCAACTACTATGAGATTTGAATTGACAATTGTGTCTCTGTGCTAATGTGGTCTGGCAACCTGAAATAATGTACGTACGTACTAAGTTCTACGTTGTAACTGACTGACTTACTCAATACTATATCTACACTAGAGAGGCTATATTAAGTAGAGTGTGACTCCCAAATACACAGAGCGTTTTATTCACAAACGGTATGAATTTCATTTATAACGATTCAGTATAAGATATTGATTAATATCAGTTTTTAACATCGACAATAAGAGAACGTAAACCTTGAAAAAATAAAACTCAACAGAAAAAAAGCTAAGATTATTGACACTTGACAAAAAGCCAACAATGAAATCAATAGTATCCTAATCGTTTTAAATCAACTTTTCAATATCTCGATTACATTATACAATGAAATTGGAATTGAATACAAAAAAAGAGAAACTGTATTTTAGTTGTTCCACCAAAAACACATTGATTTGTTGTTTCAACGTCTACCTCTTACATATATATATATATATACAGATCAGCTTGTTTCAATAAAGAATATTCTTTTTTTTGTTTCAAAACATTAAACTTACTGCATTAAATATGAATTTAGTTCTTGGCGAGGTATAAAATAATTGAAATTTTAATTTGACATTTTTACATTTAGTAATTAATCCACAACAAGATTTATTAGTTGTATCATTTCCTTTAGGTTTATTATTAGTAGTAGGATTAGTCGATGAATTGATGGTCATCATGGAATCACCGATTGGTTGTGCATCATATTCCATGCTACGATGATCTTCCCATTGATATAAACAATCAAAAAACAGTAGAAAAGGACAAATCAATGTAGCTAAGATTATAAATACATTTGTATGCACACCTTGACGCCATGCACGATACAATGAATCTTGACATGCTGTTGTACTGATAAATTTTCTACGTACTGATTGAGCAGCTAATCTTAGACAATTGAAATTACCCCAAATGTATGTTTCTTTTTCTAAAAGATTTAATGTAAGCTCCTAATTAAAGAAAAATACAAGAACAACAGCAACACGATTATAACTCAATCTAGTTATTTAATCAAAATTGAATAATTCCATGACATTTTTTTTAAAGAGTTTCTCAATTTGAAAATTGTTTATATGATGAATGTGAATTATAAAATGTTATGATTATTATTACTCTTACAATTATCTTAAATACTTTTGTGAACAATTCATACAACTCCTACACAATAATTCATGTTATTTAACTGACTACCCGTTAGACGACAGTAATCAATGATGAGAGACTTTGAATGATATGGCTTAAAATTGTTTGCTATGGTGCAGGTGTGTGTATCCATTCTTCGTGTTCTCTCTAGTTCTAATCTTCTGGATTTCTCATTACCTCTATGTCTCTCTTGAATTCGTTTCATTGAATTATACTCATTAAAAAAATATCTTTGAACCTTAATCTTCTCTATTACCACTAATACTTCTACTATCTCTAACACTATAGGATTTGAACTATCAATACTGTCTTTCCGTGCCAATATGGTATAGCAACTCGAACTGATGTATGTATATTACTTACTTACTTACGCCTGTTACCCACAACGGAGCATAGGCCGCCCACAACTTTTCTCCAACCAACTCTGTCCTGGGCTTCCCTCTCCAGTTCTGTCCACTGTTTGTTCATTCCTCTCATATCGTTCTCTATTTCTCGGCGTAATGTATTCTTTGGCCTTCCTCTTTTCCTTTTGCCTTCAGGGTTCCATGTGAGGGCATGTCTCGTGACGCAGTTTGGTACTTTTCGTAGTATGTGTCCTATCCACTTCCACTGCTTCTTCCTGATTCCCTCCTCCACTGGAATCTGGTTTGTTCTCTCCCACAGAACGTTGATGCTGATCGTGTCTGGCCAACGAATACGAAGTATTTGGCATAGACAACTGTTAATAAACACTTTTATCTTCTGGATGATATCTTTCGTAGTTCTCCGTGTTTCCGCTCCATACAGTAGAACTGTCTTGACATTTGTATTGAAAATCCTGATTTTGGTTTTGTTTGAAAGTTGTTTGGATTTCCAGATATTTTTCAATTGTAGAAATGCAGCCCTCGCTTTGCCAATCCGCGCCCTCACATCTGCACCTTGGTTGTCGCTGATGCTGCCAATATATGTAAAGGTGTTAACGTCCTCCAAGGCATCCCCATCAAGAGTGATTTGGTTGGTGCATGTTGTGTTGCATCGGAGAATTTTACTTTTCCCTTTATGTATGTTGAGACCTACATCTGCAGAGGCTACTGCTACACTGGTCATCTTCTCTTGCATTTGTTGTTGCGTGTACGATAGAAGAGCCAGGTCATCTGCGAAGTCCAGATCGTCCAGCTGCGTCCTAACTGTCCAGTTGATACCGTGCTTCCCTCCAGATGTTGACCTTTTCATAATCCAGTCGATGACCAGGAGAAAGAGAAAGGGTGAGAGTAAGCAACCTTGCCTGACACCAGTCTTCATCACCTCGAAAGAGTCTGTATATATATGTATATACGAAGTTCTATGTTGTAGCTAGCTGACTGACAATAATTCAGGTTTGTTATTATTATTATTATTTCAGAAATATAAAGTTGTTTGAAAGTCTTTTCTTAGATTAGAAATAGTGAATACTATTAATTAGAACAATACATATAAGCGAACAATAGTGTTGTTTTCGATTAGATCGTCATCAGGCTTTACTCTAATATACTAGAACCAATGTGTTTGAAATTTTATTTTGTTATGATTAGCATTATTTTCACATCATGTATTTTGTTTGTAATTTTCTACCTCTTCCCGTTTATATGCTTCACTATCTAATTGTGTACACACTTATTATTATGTAATGGTTTTAATGTTTTGTAATGATTACTTTAAATCTATTTATCCACGTTTGACCTATTATTGATACAACTTTTGTTATCGTATTTTATAATTTTCTTACTACTATCATCATTACTCACCTGTCTTCCAACTGTCAACTTGTACTTTTGCCTATTACGTGTGTAGTGGCGTAATCTATATTTCATTTCATTGCGATTATTGACTCGTAAATTGCCTTGATTGGCTTAACATGTTCATATCAATATTCATGTATATTAGAGAGTGAAGCTTGAGGATGATCTAATCGAAAACAGCACTATTGTTCACTTATATGTTTTCAGGCAGAGTTTTGGAGGTTTGTGTTTTTATACATTTGAGATAATCAATCAATCATTGTTAGACAAACCATTACAAACCTGGAAGCACTGAAAAACAGCCGTTTCGTCCTGATATGGGACTCGTCAGTGGCAGTGCGCAACCACGACTCCTGCACCTCGCAGGATTCGAACCCTGGGCCTTCGGTATTGTGCGCGAACGCCTAACCATCGGACCACTGGGCCGGCATCCAAGGGTGTTAATGTCTAACTCTGATCGATCTACGGATTTTGTGTTTTGTTCTACTTTTCCCAATGGGAATCTTTAACAATATTAATGAAACTGAAGAATCAAAAACCGCAAATGTCAACTAATATGCGAAACTATTTTCTTATTCTATATAAAATAGTAAACTGTTTTCATAAGACAAAAAATTAAAAACATTATATCCACAAACTTATCGTACATACACTATCATCATATAGCTTATCTTACATCTTATTCACATTCTCAGTAATCATCGTTTGTCAATAGGGCAATCTGAGTACACATTACCAATCGATTGTTGGTAATGAATTATCGTATTTTTGAAACCATGAATCGATCAATGTAAGACCACCATTAGAAACCTGGAAGCACTGGACGGCCGTTTCGTCCTGGTTTGGGAATCCTCAGCAGTTTACATCCACGACTCCTGCATCCCGCTGGATTCGAACTCAGGACCTGCTGACGAGACCTATACCAGGACGAAACGGCTGTCTTTCAGTGCTTCCAGGTTTCTAATGGTGGTCTAACATTGATCGATTCATGGTTTCAAAAATGTGTAACTTAACAATCTTCACAACCCCGTAATGCAAATGAATTATCAATTGATAAATAGAAAACAATGAAGAAATAGCAAATTTACAGAGACAAAAAAAAACACAGAGAACATTTACCTCACTTGTTGTATAACATTTTTCTAATAAACGAGTTGCAATCATTTCAAATTCTTTAACATACGATTCATATAAAGCTTTTGCTTCTGTATCATAAGCTGGTAATGATTTAATCATTTTTGTATAAAGACAACAACCGATCAGAGCTAAGATGAGACCATTTTCACTAAACTCCCAAAAATATAATGCCATTTGTTGACGATTATGTAATACGGCCCAAAGAAATAATTCCTTTCATTATCCGAACACACACACACACAAAAGAAAAATTAAATTAGATTAAAAATACAGCGATATAAGTGATTTACAATAAATACAAAAAATAAGGCTTAATATTTTACAAGTGGTTGATTTTTAGGGGTAGCGATTTTTTTTATCGAGTTAGTTTTCTTCGAAATGGGAACGCGAACCCCCGCGCCCAACCCTCCTCCTCTAACCAGGCTTCGGACCGGCAGTTGCTTCAGAAGGGCTTTAGGAGGAGAAATGGTTCAGACATTGGACAGAGCTGGAAAGGGAGGCCCAGGACAGAGTAGGCTGGAGAATATTGGTAGGTGGCCTACGCTCCATTAGGGGGATAACAGGCGTAAGTAAGTATTTAAAGTGTTTACAATTCACTGAGATCGTCTAGCATTAGCAGCATATGAATTCGAGGAGATATCATGGTATTTACCGACAGATTTCAAGTAATACTGACAAATCCCTGTAACAAAAACATGCATGCTACTACTGTATGGTGAATTTGTTTACAGAACAAACAGTTAATCGTGTTTGTACAACCGAGAACTCTCAGACGAATCACAGTTCTTGCAACAGTTCACTTTCGTTGAGTACAGTTACTTTATTGTCAAAATTCAAAATGATACTTCACTTAAAATCATAAAGATTTTAAAAGTACATTAGCATCCAATGATGATGATCTAAGGATATCATGTGAATTGACAAGTCAAATGATGAAAACATTCTCAGCCATAGAATAAGCCCTCGTACAGCATTGTATAATGTCTGACAATACTTTTTTTAAGTGACGACACTCGAAAATCAATATTTTTTTTATTATTTTAATCTGTAGTTTAATAATTTTCAATGTAACAATAAGTGAAATATTCAAAGTATAAAGAATGTTTATAAATAAATTGTCACTAGTAAAATACTGTAGGTCAATACAAGTCTGGTATGTCATTTGATTAATATTAGACAAAAATTTTTTTTACATAGTCTATACAATTTTATTTTAATTCCTAAAAGGACAAGGTTAGTAAGAGAGAGACTAATGGATAGAACTCTATTGTCTATGTGTAAATTACAATGTTTAAAAATTAAAAGTCTCATAATATAACGATTTGTTTATCACTCACTGAAATATATTAGAGCAATGGAAAAGTTAATATTTAATATTTTCAGTTTGGAAAAATATACTCTTGAGACAAACTGATGAGTTATGATGAGTTTTCCATTAAGAATTTTAGGCTTTACAACGCAGGCTATGAAATCATTAGGAACAAAATTAATTAGAGTGATCTAGAGAGATGTAAAAAGAGTTAAAGAAGCTTGTACACCACGGAGTCTGAAAATGGAACTGGATTAGTGATGATCTTGTCAGTCTGGAAATGGAATAACAAAGTCCATAGAACAATTACTTGATGCTAGTTTTAAACAGAGTTTTTGTGAACAGTTCAAGATATGCTAACTCCGTATTAATGAGTTCTTACTGTTTTGCAGCCAATTTTTCCTAGAAACAGGTTATTGCGGTCAAACACAAGCATTATCGACAGAAAAACTTTTCTCTTGAATCATGAGTTTCCTGCTTTCAGTCTCTGTCTAGTCGATATAGCTCAGTAAGAATTATTTCACAAATGTTAGGATGGTTTAATCAAACTTTCCAGTTATTATTTCAAATTAATCTATTTAAAATCAATAGATTTATAATGGAAGGATTACTCAATATAATTTGAATCAATTTTGTAAGATATCAAGTTCACATCGATTTGTAAACGATTTTTACCTAATGGTGACATTAGCTGGAGAACAATTGGAACCAAAGAACATTTGACAGTGGTTAAACCTTGTCATCTAGACTACTTGTCTATAAACAAGCTCAGATATACATGTAATCATACAACAGGCGACCACTGATCTAGAGTAAAAATCGGTAATCATCCACTAATACTGATATGCTTGAAACTACTACGAGTTCCTTATTCGGTAAGGTGGGGGCAGAGAGGTTGTCTTCGTCTGTCAGACTGCGCTGGAGGGACGTGGACTGGGTGTAACAGAGGCACATTTATTCTGATTAGGTGACCATTGCACTACATGTACGTCAGACTCACTGGATCCACCACTGTGAACCATAGTCGTATCAAGTTGCAGATTGGTATCTATCAATATCTTCATTACTTTCAGCTGCTGCTCAAGTAACAATGCAAGTTTCGAAGGATCCATGTTACCAAAACCATCATCGCCAATTGATATGCTTGAAACTATTACGAGTTCAACGGAGCGCAGAGAAATGATGCAGTGACACGATAGGCTATTCTAATCCGTTTGTCCTCTGTCTGGCTAATTATATCAAGAAGTTTTGATAAGTCGTAGATAATGTGTTCTACAAGCACCCAAGAAATTCGGAGTCGACAAGCACACAAATCAAGCTTATTTATGCAATCATAGAAACGACCATTAGGAGAGTTACAAAAATAGCGTACTAAAATAATCCATCAATTAACGAAAGTCAAGGATTTTCCGTGTACAAAATGTAATCTCAAGGTCAACTGAGCAGCTCATGTACGAAAACACAGGAAATTCAAAATAAGAATCTTTTCCAAGTGAGTTCTGGCAATCTAACGTCCTCAACAAATACCGCCTAACTCTACGCACGTTTCAGTGAAGATTTAGGGTATTTCATTTAGACATCAGTACTTTATGAACATGAAAGCATGAATTATCGAACATATTTCGAACCGAGACTAAAACCTATATTCAACTATGATTAGCTTTTATTGATATGACAAAAATCTATTACAATTTGAACAACTTTACATCAATTATAACAGATAAGAAAAATACAACAAGGGCAGTATGAAATAATATAGTGCTTACTTGAAATGGCGAGGGAAATCTCGATCTATTCACTATATTCGGTGCATTAAAACTCTATATTGTGTACATATAATAAAGTAAAACGATACAATAAAATGAAGCGAGATAAAACAAAAATCAAATTTTATCAGAATAAAAGAAATAAACTTATTACTGATAATTTGATGGAATTGTTACAACACAAATAAATACACTAAATGTTCAAATTTAATGATGTCGTAGAAATGACCGACCATCTGAAGCAGACTAAAATGTTAGTGACCTGATAACAATCTCATATCTAGAGATGAACACATGTAATTAATGACAAACTAGGTATCGACAATTCAACAAGATTAAAAAGCATGTTATTCTTGAAAAAAAAACAAACTAACTAACTAACTAATCTTACTTATAAGTTGATCGAGTGTCCGACAGTTTATCATCAACCACAATATTCGTGATTCAGTAAACTTAGAATTAGAAATTCACTGTCTCTCTCTTCCTAAACAACACGTCATACATAAAACATGATAGTAATACATTTTCGGATTCAGTATTCTATTCTAATAATTTTCGCCTACAATATATATATATATATATATATATATATATATATATATATATATCATACACCGAATTCACTAAATTAAAAACATCATACTTGGATTTCATAATTAAAATGTTACATATAAATAATAAAGAATCAGTACAAGTCAATTGTGAAAAACATTGACTGTATAATGACTATGACAAATCATAACAAGTCACTGTGGTCAAATTAAATGAATATTAGTTTAAACTTATAAATTATTATTTATCAATTAGAGTTATGGAGATTAATGTTTTTTGCACATTGAACGCATCAATCAATCATTATTGGACCACCATTAGAAACCTGGAAGCACTGGAAAGCCTTTTCGTCCTGGCTTGGAACTCATCAGTGGCAGTGCGCATCCACTACTCCTGCACCTCTCAGTAATCGAACCCAGGACCTTAGGTCTTACACGTGAACGCCTAACCTCTGGACCACTGGGCCAGCATCCGACGGTGTTAATGTCTAACTCTGATCAATCTACAGATTTTTGCGCGACCTCACCTATTTGTCTTTGGTAGTTACTACCTACACCCGACAGAATTGAACTCCACTGGTTACATCTTTTCACTAGAACTCCGAGAATTTCCTCACGATGCTAGTCACTAGTGAGCACATTTTACGATGTTTCAGTTAAAGTTATGGAGATTAGTGTTTTTTGCATATTAAAATCATCCTACGAGGTGCAGGAGTCGTGGATGCACACTACTGATGAGTCCCATATCAGGACGAAACAGCCGTCCAGTGCTTCCAGGTTTATAATGGTGATCTTACAATGATTGATTGATGATTTCAATGTATAATTCAATAGTTAAAAGTTTATAACAATCTGAGGTATAAATCTAATTTATAGTCTATTTTGAACATTTAATCATATCAAATTCGGTCAAAATATGATTATCCATCATCCATTTAGGATATTAACGTGCAAAAATCAATTCTCGTCAATTGATATAGTGTTGTTTTTATTTAACAATCTATCATCGGATATATGAAGTTGAAATAAATCTCGCTCATCAACAAGTTTATTAACAAAATATTTAATCAATAATAAGATAAGATGAAGATAAAACAGTGCATTCATCTATCAAAACTATTTCCATGAATAAAAAACCATGAATATATGCAACTTTTCAAACTCTTACAGCTTCATCAGCACTATAAAGATAATTGTCAAAATTTCCTAACATTCTAGATAACAATAGATTTATAGTAGTTAATTGTAATTTCTTCGGTAACAACTCTTTAAATGGACTGCTGCTGCTGCTGTTGTCATCTTTCACATTATTATGAACAAGATTTGTTGGTAAATGTGAAAGTTTATATTTTCGAAGACAACGAATTAATCCATCACGTCGTATTGAATGATTATACAGTATACGTAATCGATCAACCGTGAGAAATGTTTTCATTGTAACACCATTATGCAGAAATAATTTCACAAAATCAAGTTCATCCATTTTTAATGCTTCTAACATAAAATGTTCCAATGTTGCTGTAGACAAACAAAACAAACAGGAAAACTTTTAATTTATAACTTATTTGAAGTGTGCACCACTTTTGTTTTTTGTCTAGACCTCTTTTTCAACAATTAATCTATTTAAACAAAGATTTTTTGAAAAAATTTTTATAAATTGAATGCAAAATCTAGTCATCTAAATGTTATGTTCGTTAATTGATACGCTTGAAACTATTATGAGTTCACCGGTGACATGATAGGTTAGTCTGATCCGCTGCCCCAACTAACTGACCAAAAAGTCTTGATATGGCGTAGAAAGTGTATTCTACAAGCACCCAGAAAATACAATGATCTAAAGCACACAAATCGTGTTATCTGTACATAATAGAAACTTCGTTGGGAGACTCACAAAAATAGCGTACTAAAATAACACTTCAACCAATCACAGCCAAGGATGTCCTGGGCGGGAAATGTAATCTCAAGGTCACCTGATCAGCCCATGAATCGAATCCAAAATTAAAATATTTATCAACTGAGCTCTGGGGATCCAATTTTCTCGACACTAAAAGTTAACACATGATTTTCTCAAAAGATTTACCTAACTATCCTCTCTACAATTGATGAACTAATTACTTATGAATTGATATCTCATTTGTTGCATGTCATCTTTGATATCAATTTATAATTTACTGAAGTTCATTCACAATTGCATAACATTTTGAAGTATAAAAATTGAAACGATTTGAATAATCATTCGTTAAAATTGTAACGGTAATACTATGAACATTATGAAATCAATTCAATTGTGATTCAGTGATGAGATATCATATTTCAAAAGCTAATAGTTCTATTGTACACCTACTTATAAATGGATGAATATTTATGAATTTTTATGTGATTTAGTTGTGTATGATTTGTTTGTATAAAGATGACAATAATATGATTCGAACGATCGGATAATGATGACTGTGTACAAGTGAGATTATGTCTGCATACATATCTTAAAAAATTATCAATCTTAAAATCTCAATATAAATGATTGTTCAGTTAGTTGTGAATGATATGTCCCCCCCCCCCCCAAAAAAAAAAATAGGGTCACAATAGCATATAACCATTCAAATTTTGTCGCAATGCAATTATACTTTAATTTAGAAAATTCTTTATTACTGAGATAGTGTCGTGGTGGCAAATTCGGGATTATTTGGTTAAGCTCTGTGGGGGGGGGGGCTGTAGTAGGCAATGGTTGGGGATACACTGAGTGAAATGACTTAAAATCAGCCACTCTTCATGTTTTCATAGAAAGGGAGTTTTAAAGTTACCTTATACGTTTTGTAGCAACTTGAACCGATACACACACATATATTGCATTACGGGGTTGTGAAGATTGTTGTTAAGTCACACATTTTTGAAATCATGAATTAATCAATGTTAGACAACCGTTTGGAAACCTGTAAGCACTGGACGACGGTTTCGTTCTGGTATGGGACTCATCAGCAGTGGTTCAGAGATCAGGCGTTCGCGCGCAAGACCGAAGGTCCCGGGTTCGAATCCTGCAGGATCCCATACAAATCAAATAGTGGTCTAACAGTGATCGATTCATGGTTTCAAAAATGTGTAACTTAACCCTAATCTTCACAACCCCGTAATGCAAATTACCTGTCCTCACTAGTGACTAACTTCGTGAGGAATCTTCTCCAAGTTCTAGTGGGAAGACGTGACCAGTGAACTTCAACCTGTCCGGGTGTAGACAGTAACTACCGAAGACTGTGTATGAGGTTGCGCAACTTCGTAAATTGATCGAACTTAGACATCAACACCGTTAGATACCAGCTCAGTGGTCCGATGGTTAGGCGTTCGCGCACAATACCGAAGGTCCTGGGTTCGAATCCTGCGGGGTGCAGGAGTCGTAGATGCACACTGCTGATGAGTCCCATAGCATGACGAAACGGCCGTCTTTCAGTGCTTTCAGGTTTCCTAATGGTGGTCTAACATTGATCGATTCATGATTTCAAATGTGTAACACACATATATATATCTCAAGTTCTATATATATTATTTATAATTCATTGAATCATTGAAGTTAACACTTTTATCAAAAAGAACAAAAACAAAAGACAAATCACTACACAGCTTTACTTTGATCAAATTGATTGCCTTGTTGAAATATTTTCTCACGTGCAATATCACTACGTTTCCATGTGAATGCTAATGCTAATTGTTTATCTAAATCTGAAGAGGTTTTAATTAATGAGAATAGAATAGCTAAATCTAAATCATTCGATTGATTCATATCGAATGTTGTAATTAAATTTTTATTTTGTACAATAAATTCAATCATTTTTAAAGCAGCATCAATTTTTGTTGGACTATCTGAAACATTTTGTAATCGTTGTTTTAAAATAGTCAATTCCATATTGGAGAATCCATGAAATTCACTAGTTTAAAAAAAAGGGAGAGAAAAAGGAAAAAAGAAGGAAATTAACAAGTAAAAAGACAACATAAAAGGTAACAGTTAATGCAAAAGCTAAATTTATCAAAACATCTCAAGTAGATAATCGTGAAAAAGCTCAACATTGATTATCATGAAATGAGATGTATTCACTTTATCTCTGTGGTTCGAATATTTTCTCATTTTTTTTTATCAGTACTTTATCATTCTCTCTATTTGAATCATCATTTCTTTTGTGGTGGCCAGTTTTCAATGTGTTCTTAAGCTTCGTGATTAATTAACTCGTCCAGACAATCGTTACTAACTACAAGTGCTAAAAAATAAAATCGTCATGCGAGTGCCGGAAAGGAAGTAAGCGAGTGAATAGGTGAATGAACGGATGAAGCGATATGAAGAAGGCCAGTGATCCAACCCCCAGAGATAATAAGATAATACGATTTTCGTATGCGCATACAACCGCTGAAGTGGCTTTGCTGCTTTCATTCGATAAGAGAGTGCATTGTTTGTGTTGTGTATCGGGTCTGGTTCGTTGATTCATTCAGCGAATTCATTAAGTTCCTGAGCTGCTTTGTCGATGCACGGCGTCAGGATTTCCAGTTGACGGTTCTGTTCGATTTGTCCTCGAGATTACCAACTGGTTGTTCGTATCCAATATGTCGTCGGAATCGTCAAATTAATCCAGTTAATCAGTTTGTGATGAGTACATTAGATTCAACGGCAGGCTCACCAGATTTGTGGTGGTCAATTATTGCGTGTTCTTAATCTTCGTGCTTGGCTTGGTCAAATAAATTAATCGGAAAGGCTTAACCAAATTAAATGTAAGCGAACCCGAATAAATGCGGAGGCAATACACTTTATTACCATTTAGTATGATTAAATTGTCATAAAAATATGTATAAAGTATATTATGATGATGAATTTCTTCATTCATGGTGATACCTTCATATATCTTGATACGGATGAAAGTGCAGGAGGAGTCTTTTATCTTTCACCAAATGCTCTCATAAAGTAATGCATAGATAGTCACTGACAGAGAAGCTCAACTCACTGCTTCCTCATAGCCAGAGTGTTGCTTAGGAAATCGATAACACGAAAAGCGAATTTCTGGTATTTTAACGGAGAATCCATCTAGAGCAGTTGCAAAACCATCATTTCAAATCAATGGTGAACATGAACTTCACGGTCCTGAAGAAATAAATGATCTATGAACCGACTGTTGGTGGATGGCTACCTTACAACTGCATCTCCTAATGCTACTCCGCTAAATCATGGATTAGACCTTTCGGTCAAAGGCTCAAAACATGTTCTAATAATAAGACCATCTGCTTAGGTTTAAAAGTGCCCAGAGACTATTCCAGTCCACTCATAAAATCAATAATTTGCATGGTGCATAATAAATATTAAGGTGCATTTTTGTACCAGTAATTATGTTTTTAAATAGATAAATAAACTATAACAGATTAAATACAGTTGTAGAATGGATCCATTTAGGAAACTTGTAATTTATTAGTTATTATCGAGATTATTTAAAATTATAGTTTATGTTGCAAATTTATGAAATTACCAATAATTACATTTAACATTACGTGGGTTGTGAAGATTGTTAAGTTACACATTTTTAAAACGATGAATCGATCAATGTTAGACCGCCATTAGAAACCTGGAAGCACTGAAAGACGGTCGTTTCGTCCTGGTATGGGAATCCTCAGAAGTGAGCCGGTATCTAACGGTGTTAATATCTAACTTGATCAATTCATGGAGTTGAGCAACCTCATACACTGTTTTCGGTAGTTACTGTCTACACCCGAACAGGTTGAACTTCACTGGTCACGTCTTCCCACTAGAACTTGGAGAAGATTCCTCACGAAGTTAGTCACTAGTGAGCACAGGTAATTTGCATTACGTGGGTTGTGAAGATTAAGGTTAAGTTACACATTTTTGAAACCATGAATCGATCAATGTTAGACCACCATTAGAAATCTGGAAGCACTGAAAGATGGCCGTTTCCACCTGGTACACGTTCAAATTGTCAATATGGTTTTTTTTAAAAAAAAATTTCATTTATCAACTAATAAAGTGATATTCAATTAATCAAAAATTTCCATTGCTTCAAGTTAATACAGTGGAAATTAAAAAGAAAAAAACTCATATAATTAGGATTAAATGAATTCACATTTATTTCCTTTCATTAATTATTGTAACATTAAAGAAATAATGAAGCGAACTAACCATTTAACTCATTAACTAATCAACTGATCAAAAGAAATTTATACATGAAACAATCATTTTGGAAACTGTACATACATAAACCATTGTATACATGATTTAACTAATATGTCTATAAACTACAGCTGTCAATTCACACTACTACTCGTGCTGTGGTGCGAGCTACTTATAAGTAGTATGGGGAGTCTGGGGCACAGTTGTTGGCGTCGCAATTTTTCAGAACCAACAGTATTTGTCCAAAGTTTAGTTAATAAACATTTAACTGAAGAATATTTAAATTACCTATTTTTATTTAAGAAAAGGACAATTCTCAACTTCAAATCGTACTCCACTTACTTTGGTTTGAGTAAACGAGTAGTATCATCACCTATAACATAGTATGACTATAGTGTACCCAAGAACCTCAGGATTCAGTGTTGTACAATAAGTAGTGTATTTTTTTGTTAAAAAAAAATTTATTTTACCAGATAGTTTAAGTAACTTACTCATTTTTCATACGATACTCAAATGCTAGTGTTAGGATATCAGCCGCTCGACCAGTACCAGAACAAATCACTACAGGAACATGTTCCGTGATACTGTTCTTAGCATCAATAAACACATCATGACCACCTTCAACAATGACAAGCACTACGGGAATACCAAAACCACCCTCTGTAAGAAAAAAAACAAAAACCCAATTTGCTTTAAGAAATATTCATTCATTAATGATAATATACAAAGTCCCATAAATCTTTCATGTTTACAAATGAAAAAAAAATTCTAGATTAAGGCATTAAATTATTTAAAATCTGATTGAAATCATGAATTGATTAATGTTAGACCAATATCAGAAATCCGGAAGCACTGGACAGCCGTTTCGTTCTAATATGGGATTCATCAACAATGAGCACCAACGACCATCGCATATGGATGATTCCCATACTAGGACGAAACAGCCGTCCAGTGCTTCCAGGTTTCTAATGATGGTCTAACATTGATCGATTCATGATGTTTTAATGAAACTCAATAATCGCTACAGCTCCTATATCATTGGTGGATGTTTACACTCTAACTTTAAGTTATAATTAAAATTGAATAACAACTTGAAAAGTTTAATTTCTTGCAAATTTATAAGTTACTTAAAGTAATAACTTTCGTTGAATTACCGGCATCTGACAATTTCAGATTCATAATCAGTATGTAGTGAAGGAGAACACCGGTGAGGGCAACCGAATTGTAATTACCTCAAATTACAGAGGTAATTGGTAAAATAGGAAAACCATATCGTAAATCGTTAATTTGCAAAATATCAATCCATCATATCGAACTGGACTGTTCCTGTTGCAAAACATCAATCCATTGTCTGACATTTCACTATTCATGCGTTTCATACAAATCCCATTGTGTTCCCACTCTTCCTTTCTTGATCTACCCACATCTTCTGCTGCCAGACATTACGTTTTTACTTGCGTCATATACTACTTATAAGTAGCGCGCACCACAAGTATAGAATATTTTAAATCATGTATAAACTACAAATTTATTAACTAGGAGGCTTCGGAAATACATCGTTTACATGAACCTCAATGATATAAATCATCCTAGAAATAGTTGAAGTGGAACTCAAATCTATCATTTATAGTTTTACAAAATACACAGTTGAATAAACACTTAAATAATTCAAATTGTAATAGTTGGCTTTAAACTATACACTTGTTGAACATTCTTTGGTTATTTTCCCCGTTGTTTCGAATATTTTCTACTTTTCACTGCTACAAACTTGTACAGATTATGCAATCGAATTATCATATAAGTATTCAAGTTTCTGTGTATCTTTTCATAATAAACGATTCCGTTGATTTTTACTTTCCCACTAGTTCAGTTCATGGATTCTTTGAATATTGTTTTACATTATGGATCGACTCTGGTTAAACAACTTTTTAAAAACAGGAAGCACTGAATACGTTGGTATTGACCTCTTGAGCAGTGTTGCACATCTATAACTCCACGAAAGACTGAACTTCCTGATCAAACGTTAACCTTCAAATTGCTGAGTTAATATTTAACGTTTGCCGACTACCCATAGCTAAATCACTCCGTGATATTATTAAGCGACCATCAGCTATTTTCATAGGATATGTTTGTCACATAGCTGTTTAGTACTAATGAATTGCTATTCCAGTGGTTAGTCGCCCTACTTGTAGCTGTTAAAGTAACATTCAATTAGTATAGCGAAAGAAAAAAAATCATCAGTTCGAAAGTTATCGAAATAAAATTCGAGGGCGTCAACAGAACCTGAATTACATACTTTCAACGGGAATAGCAATTTGTTTTTCTAATTTAGCACGAAATTCCGCTGATTTACTTCCACCATATCTTAAACGTCGTCCTTCATCAACAAATATATAATGTGTATGATTTTGATTTAAAGAAACTGGTGAATCACGAGCTATAAAATCTGTCACTTCATATCGTACAGGTGTAATATGATCCTAAAGAGAAGACAATGAATACAACAGAAAACGAATTAAATAATTTATACAATAGTCCATAAGATAAGAATTATTTAAAAAAATGGAAGAGAAAGCTAAAATTCGATGAAATTCATTTAGACACAAATTCCTTGGTTTGTAGAAATTCATTCCTAGAATAAGAAATATTTTGAATTTAATGTGTGTTGCGACCAGAGTTGTGGTGCGAGCTACTTATAAGTAGTATATTAAATGAGTGTCAACGTAATGTCTGGCAGCAGAAGATGGGGGAAGATCAAGAAAGAAAGAGTGGGAACACAATGGAATTTGTATGAAACGCATGAACAGTGACAATGGATTGATGTTTCGCAACAGGAACAGTCCAGTTCGATATGATGAACTGATATTTTGCAAATTAACGATTTACGATATGGTTTTCCTATTTTACTGAGTAACTCTGTAATTTTCGTTAAATACAATCCGGTTGCCCCACCTGTGTTCTCGTTCACTACAGAGTTATCACATAATAAATTGTTTTCATTTTTGCATTTTTTAGTATTTTATGCTACATAATTTTTATCAAGCGATTGTTGACAAAATCCATCATAGATCACTTATGGAAATTCAATTTTACAGTTTAAATAAGTTGAAATTTATGAGTTAACTCGCAAAACAAGTTAATATTCTATGACAATTTTTAAATAATGTACATTTTATGAAATAAAAGGATTTAGTAAATTACAATTTTATTAGATTAACTGAAATATTGGAAAATTAAAATCACTAATTCACTTTAGATTAGAGGAACAGGATAAAAGAAACTGTCGACAGTGAATTTAAATTTTAACGGTTTGGATTATCCTATTGACTGAAATGTGATTAGTAGAAGTTGGCAGCTGACAAACCCTTCCATAAGACAAAGCACGTGTCCTATATTCGATTGTTAAACACATTCCGTCTATTCTAAGTGACTTTCAGAAAATTACCGGTGAAACATTTGTTGTACATTCAGTTAATGTGTAATGCCTCCACATATTTTCGAGTTTGCTTATATTTGATTTGGTTAAGCCCTTTCGATTAATTTATTTGGCCAAGCCATTTGTATTGCAACAATTTATATGTACCATTCGTTCTTATTATTATCTGGTTTGTATGAGCTCATATGACGTGTTCCACATGTCATTTGACCTTGTCAACTATTCGTCGGTTTTATTCATATGTGCCTATTTCGCTTGTCGCATGTCTGTCTTATATTTGTCTGACTATATATTCTTAGTCACGCTCTTTCTCTGGGAGTTGGCTCATTAGCTCTTCAAAGCGCTTCGCCTGTTCATTCGCTTCCTTCGCCCATTCGTTCGCATTGTAATCCTAGGAGTTGGCTCAGCAGCCTTCTCCAATTCACGTCGCTTCTTTTGTTCTATTCACTGCTTCTCCCTTTCGCTTTGTGGTATGACCCAAATAAACGTATTCATCACTGAGTTTACCTTCTGATTTATGAATCGTCAGACGTTAGTTAGTAAAGATTGTCTAGACAAGCTAATTACCGAGCTTAAGAACACACAGTAAATCGGCCACCACAAATGATTGTCAAATCAAATTAACCATCTTATTATGAATACTGCGGTATTAAGAAAACCTGTTATTAAATAACAATACTGAAGGTATTTGCTCCAGATTCACAAACGCCAGAAAAACGGCTAGTTAATTGCATTGCTTGTTATCAAAGACAAGAAAAAGGTGAATGATTATGAATAAAATGAGGACTAAACTATTTGAAGTCAGTCGGTGAATTTAAGGCCTCTGACAAAAACGTTTCATTCAAAAATTCACAATTAATTGTAACGCACAAAAAATAATTTTAAAAAAATGCAGTCAATCAATTAATATTTAAAAAAACAATTAGGTGATAATTTACTTCAGAAATAAGTGTTTCTCGATTTAACACATAACCCCATGGAGCAATGCCGAGACAAATCAGTGAATCAGATGGTTTCCATTTATCAAAATAAAATGTTTGATCTTGTAACGCTTTGCCAACCATTCGTACAATGCCCAAATTTAAACCAGACGTTACAATCCATGCTTTGGTACTTCGTGCAGCTTGAACTAAACCCTAAATAAAATAGATTATTCAAATTAACAAGAATATCATCAGATAACTTTAGATACAGAGAAGAAAAATGGATGATTTCACTGTTTGCTGGTTGAATGATAAGAGATTTCATGTGTTTATAACTGCGTAAATATACACCTTAACTACTCAAGATGTATCAGTCAGTTACAACGCAGAACTTCGTACATGAGTACATAAGTTCAAATTGCCATACCACATTAGCACAGAGACACAATTGTCAGTTCAAATCCCATAGTGGTAGAGATAGTAGAAGTATTACTGGTAATGGAGGAGAAGATTAGGGTTCCAAGATATATAATTCAAGATGTGTAATTTTCATGAGGGAAACAAAAAAGCATACAATTTCTTTAATTTAACTAGTCAACAACCACAACAACAATAGATTATGTAAACTTCCTAATTATTAGTAAAATACAGTATGTACACATATTAAGAACAGATCACTTTCTAGTTTTTTTAATAAAGTGAATAACTCATCAAAAACACATGTCGTTTGATTTTTTTTTTCCTATTTTCAAACAAACATAATTTTCTATACTACTGAATATTGTGGATAAAGAATTTTCACAATCTATTGGATCGATATAGAGAGTAGATAACTCAAAAAAATTATATGTGATATTATAGATAGACAGGAATAAGTTAGCATCAACTTATGTAACTATAAATTAAGAGCAGACTTTTATGTCTACACAAAGAAAAGAAGAAATACGAAAAATAATTAACTGTTCACTGGTTAACAGGTATTCAACTTCTTTGAGTACAATAGTAGTATATTTATTGTCTTTATGTGAAAATAATCACTGTTATGTTATTCTAGTTTTCTATCAATCAACATGATGAGATGAATTTAGTGTAGAATATTTCAATGTGGAAAACAGAAAACTGTAAACTTAAATTATGCGCTCAAAAATTTAATACTGATCCTAATAACTTATTTAGTTTTATCAATACGTAGTAAGTGACTCATCGGTTTGATTTTTAAAGACAAGTATGTTCTTGTTGACACTACATGTTATATTTATTTGGATAAAAAATGTTACCACAGAATGAATACAAAACTAAACATTCAACTTCTTTATGGTTTATCATTAGATTGGGTAATTAGCTTTTAAATTATTGCTATAAAACATTATCCAACTCATCAGGGTGGTATAGTGATTAAAACACTCAACTTTCAACTAGTAAGCTGCAAGTTCATCCATAGTGAAAATGGGATTATCTGCAATTTAGTTCGTCATAAGAATTACGTATGATATTAGGTACACCGTAGTATCAGAGAAACCTTCATGGTTTCATCCTCTTCATGCTTTCAAATGCTTACTCGTAGTTAAGGAAGCTGATGTACAGTGGTGAGTTGCATTTAATTGATTATTTCACAAGGATCTATAGTGCCACGATTTGCTTGGCACATGATCGATCCTTAAGGAATATAGTCTCCTGATCTCGAAGTTGGGCATTTACGGAATCCTTCATACTGTTTAACTAAACACTCTGTTGAATACTTTTCGTGGTATCAATGGTAGAGTGATGCCTCTATATTCGTCGCACTTGCTGAGATCTTTCTATGGTAACTTGATGAGGTGTCCTTCTTTCTAGTCTGTTGGTACTTGTTCTTTCTCCCAAACTTTGCTGAAGAGAGGGCGTAGAGTATCTTTGCAGTTACTGATATGTCTGCTTTTAGTGCTTCATTAGGAATATTGTCCGGTCCTTCTGCTTCGCCCTTCTCGATAACAATGCTAATCTCAACGACTGTTGAACATGTAACATCTATACGAAGGTCTTTAGGTGCTACTTTGATGGTCAGTGGGTTTAGTTGGCCTGGTCGATTCATTGCATCTTCAAAGAGCTCTACCCAAGCTGAATGAAAATTTATGAATGAAGGAATAAGATAGTTGAAGATTTACAGTAAGATGATGAAAAGAAACAATACTCGTGAGTCATAACGACAGACTCTCAGCTATATGATCCAACAGTTTGACTAAGTTAGTAGGATTAAAAACATCACAAAATAAATAGAGATCATAAATAACTGAAAAATTTTTCTCACCCTAATCAAGGAACATTAAATTTCGATTGAAAAATCAACAGAATTAAGGCATGTACTTATAGTTTTATAATAAATATTAGGGAATAAAAATTTATTGAAAAGATTTTTAGTTTGAAATAAATAAATGTGTTATTTTTTTTCTTAGATGATTTACATTTATTGCTTTGCTTGATGATAAAATACACAAATTTATTTCGATGTCATCTATAAGCTAATAATAGTTGGCAGATTTTAATGCGTCAATATTTTCTCCAATCACAAAAGCCGATCATGACCTTGATCACACAAAATAGTATAAATTTGGCCAAATCATGATTCATTTAGAAAAAATAGCTCAGCTTATGTCACACTAATTACAGATTAGTGTAACATGAAATTTGCTTTGAAAAAATATATTTACTTCTTTACTAATAAAATGTGTACGAAAATATAGCAGCAAGAAAAAACAGCTGAAAAGCCAAAGACAAACAGAAGTTCAATTCATATTTGGAAATGAAGAGTAATTTTTATTGTAAACCAGCTATCACAGAAAGATGAATGAATAATTAAGTGAATTATTGTTTCAAAATAAAATCAAAAGTTATAATTTAGTCAACATTCAAATGGTAAACACTGATGAAAAGGCACTCAACTCAACTGTCAAGTAAAAGCTCATTTAATTAAGTTTTAAAAGAAACTATTTAACAAGAGTCGATTGTCTAAATCAGATGAGGTGAACATAAATTCAGAACACTTGATTTAACTATTGAAAACGACATGTTTTAAACCTTAAACTACTCCTACACACTATAGAATAAGATGAAGTATATTGAAAAGTTATTTTGTACAGTGATAAACGTTCGGAATAAATTATTAGATTTTCAGGTTCTACATAATGTTTCCACGTTTCAGCCAGTCCTATGAATGTCAAATTAACGAGAGAAAAGAATAGCCCACAAATATTCACAATGTTTATTTTCGAAATAATAATAATATTTTTAAATTAGTTAATGAATTCATATTTAACTAAAAAAATAGATAGTTATTTAAGTGGAGGCTAAGTGTGAACAACTACGCATTGTTATTATTAATCAACTGAGTAAGAATTATGAAAGAGTTCTTTCAATTATTGATCTAATCTTTCTTTTAATTCAAGCTTATACATTAATTAAACAAGCAGTTAAAGTACATAATTATGCTGCCATTTCTGGATAATTGTTTACAGTTAATGTGATTACAATTTACAAATGAAATGGTGATCTAACATTGATTGATTCATGGTTTCAAAAATGTGTGACTTAACAATCTTCACAACCCTGTAATGCAAATTACCTGTCCTCACTAATGACTAGCTTCGTAAGGAATCTTCTCCCAGTTTTTAGTGGGAAGACGTGACCAGTGAAGTTTAACCTGTTCGGGTGTAGACAGTAACTACCGAAGACTGTGTATGAGGTTGTTCAACTCCATGAATTGATCAAGTTAGACATTAACACCGTTAGATATCGGCTCAGCGGTCTGATGGTTAGGCGTTCACGCGCAAGACCGAAGGTCCTGGGTTCGAATCCTGCGGGGCGCAGTGCTGAGGATTCCCATACCAGGACGAAACGGCCGTCTCTCAGTGCTTCCAGGTTTGTAATGGTGGTCTAACATTGATCAATTCATGGTTTCAAAAATAGGTGAATGAAATAAAGCTTAACTAACAAATATTAGCAAACACAACGATTTTACACTCAACTAACACATTTATCATAAGTGAAATTTCACACAAATATATTCGTTTATCATCTTGAAAAGAGAAAAAACAAAGATTGGTACAGAATAATATGAATTCATCTCATTACACTAGGCTCACATCAGCTGCTTACAATCTATAGTACAATATAGTTAGCTATATAATATAACTAAATTGACTATCATGAGAAAACTAACATATTCTTTGACAAAATCAAAGGTAGACAAGTATCACTTTTAAGTTACCGCCAACTGTGTAAACAAAGTCACATATATCAACGAAAGGAGCTATATTGATAGAATACAAAGAAGGGTCTACTCCCGATTGCAAGAACAAAATACCTTAGGTTAAGCTGATTAAAGGCATCTCGAGATGTTACTTTTTGTTACAAGACAGTCAACTGATACAATGAAGTCTTGCAATGTGAATAATAAAACAATCGAATCCCAATCTTCTAAAATTTGCTGAAGTTATAGTAGTCAAACGTTTAAAATTAGAATTATCTGTTCAAAAAGAAACATTCATTAATCTTTTTTTACCCTTATAAGATTATATCACTCCTAATATTAATTCTTCCTCAAGTTGTAATTACATCATTTATACTTTTCTTGAATTAATACTTTTAATTTTGACTGATTTCTATACGTTGAAACTTTCTCTCTTACATTTTATCTATTTGAAACGAATTTCTTAGGACCTTTTCGTGGTGATCATAGTCGAGCTCGACTTAATCACGTTGGGCTCACCAATTTTAGTAGTGATCGAGTTGAGCTTGACTATGATCACCACTACATACTAATTACGAACCCATCACTGAGAAGATAAATAAATCCAGGGTAAAGAATGTAATTGCTGGCGATTTCGTGGTGTCGAAAGAACACCGAAATCAAACCAGAAAAGATGAGCGAAATTACAGAGCTATAGAGCAAAGGATGGCAGCAACACAAACAGAAAGTTTGCGCGTAAAGAGTGCTATAAACAAAGAGTACAGTTAAACAATCACTGGTACAATTGGTTATAATAATGAATGTTTCTATTAAACCAATCGCGTTCTCTTCATAAAAGAATCTAACTGGCCAAATAAAATGAATTCATATTACGCTGCACCAATCGTTGTCTTCGTTCTCTTGATTTATTAGCGAAAATATGTTATCTTAAGCAAACTTTTAAGTTAAAATAAAAAGAATCTACTTATTACTGAAGTGAAATACTTTACAACCTTTAAACAACAATTCATTCAATTGGATATGCTAACATCCAAAATGATTAAGGAAACAGGCATGCCCCCAGTCTTCTGAAATTCGCTGAAATAATTACTGGTATCAGGTATATCAGAAACCTGACTTCCGTGGATAAAAAAGAACGAATTTATTAATCTTACACTGACGTGATGGTATAAACATTTTTTCGTCACATCGAAAAAATCTCCGTTCACATCTTCATGTTAGTTGATTGCACTAAAACATCTATTTTTTCCAATTCTTACAGATCAACAGGATTATTTTAACTGAGTTTTACGTATTCTTATCTGACTGTTGGTGTTTATCCATTATGTATTCAAATTATTGTTATTGCTAGTTTAAACAATGATCCATAATACTGATAATAATTATAGGGATAAAATTATGTCGAAGATTTTGAGTTTATTTATGAAATAACGATGGGAAGTATTTGACAAACAATCAGTTTTAGACTTATAGCAAGATTCCATCCTGACTAATTCATGATCTGTTCAAGTTTTAGTTCCAAATTGCTGATTGGTCTATTTTAAACCAATTAGAACAAGCTATTAAATTATCATATCAGAGGATTCTAATGTGAACTGCTTGTACACATAATTTTTATATTTTTTCAGGTTAATTTAAATATACATTATTTTCTTTTACTTCCAATGCAGTAAGCATCAAGTGAAGTATGATTTCTAAAAAATAATAACCGTAGAAGAATATAACAGTAGTATTTAGCTACATATGTTAAATCACCCTGAAAACGTGCTATATCTATTTTAAAAATTATCTACTGAGTTAGATGGAAAAAAAATACCCAATTTACATAAAGAATACATGTAACTAAAATATGTAATAAATATCATAACTAACTGAATAGAAAACATCTTTTTTATGTCCATCAAGAACAAAATTCTTTGCACCACCAATAACAGATATGCATAAACTTGGTTTCTCAGGTTCCATCATTTTCCAATAATCTTTCATAAGTGTCATTACATCTTCAAGTTTATCTTCATCCGATATTCGAACAAACTAATAATTGTACAGAATAAAAACAACAATATGTTAAAAGTAGGAAACAAAATTAACGAACGTGTAAGTTTTCTATAAAAAAAAATATCATGACAAAATAGAAAAGGAAACTCATATATCGTGTACATACTTTTAAGACCCGGACCCGGATCCTTAGTCCGGGATCCTGGTTCTCTTCTGGACTCAGACCTCGTACTTTCTGGATGCTTATAGAATACAGGTTCTATTTCATATCGAGTCTTCTTCTTTTTACTCAATATGGGGGTTGGGACACTCAGATAAGAGTAGCATGTCGTGTCGCCGGATCTTCGCTCTCGTTTTCCGACTAAGGTAAACTCGTAGTAGTTCAAGCACATCAAGTTGACGTGTTTACGTGCATGCGTAACACATACGTATATATATAAGTTGGCGACGTTAGATCCTCAGAATTTACTCAGTAAAAGGTCCTAATTTTATAATTTTATTCTGAAATTTTCAAATTTATATTTTTCACGCCAAAGACGCTTATTTGACCTTCAGCTTGGGTTTTGGCACTCGGGAAATCCTTGACTGTCTTTGGTTGGTGGATTATTTTAGTACGCTATTTTGTGACTCTCATCAAGGGCGTTTTATCATTGTATAAATAAGCTTGAGTTGTGTGATTGTAGATCTCATACTTTCTGGCTGCCTCTCGAATACATTTCTCTACGTCTTATCAAGACTTCTAGTTATTGGGTCCTGGGACGATCGGATTAGAGTAGCCTGTTGCGTCACTGAATCATTGATCTTCGTTCCATTTACCAAGTAAGGTGAACTCGTAACGGTTCAAGGATAGCTATACATACATATAGATTGTGCACCACTATGCCACAACTTCTTTTTACATATCTACTGGATTTCGAACAATATTCACTCCATCGCTTTTCATTTTGTTATTATTATTATTATTCAATCTGTTAATGTGTGAAATTCGAAAAAACTTGAACTAATCATTCACAACTTATATCGAAAACAAATAACGTTCAAAGTTAAGCGGTGTTCATTTAGTGTCATTCCACTAGAAACGGAAGCATACTCTCATAACTTGTAAATAAAAGAAACTTTATTTTAATTTGAATAGATAATGAGTTTTTATTGTAAATAATTTTCTCCCTCTTCCAATCTTTTGTTAAGTGTATTGTTTTATAGTAATTAAATTAATTAATTAATTTAAATAATAAAACTACTTTATTATTTAAAACTGTTTAACATTGCATTAATAATTTAAAGAGAAAAATTCATTAGCCTGTGAACACTTATTAGCCGCAATAATAACGTTGATATAAAATACCCAATAAGTTTATCTTATAAACTACACCTTAAAAGTAACATATTTATTAAAAAATGTATATTGTAATGACAGAATAAGTTTAATTAAAAGTGTTATAATAAAAAGAGATAACTTTATCATTTATAAATGTCACTGATACTTTTATACAATGTAGATATTATCTGCGAGAATCGTAAACGTATAATACGTTTTAACCTATTGTCAAATCATATTAAATCTAGTAGGTATCCATGCCAATTTTGAATTTGATTGTTTTAAATGAATTGTGTATTAAGTAGAGTAGTGATAATAAGTTAGTTGTTATATTTGTTTTTCATAATCCAATTCAGTAGAAGTTTTTGATTTTTTACACTTTGTGATTGTGTTTAAATCACTTATTTTCAGAAATTCAAATTTCTATTTATAGAGAGGAAATCACAAAGTTACAATTAGTTTTATTTTGATTAAATGTTGTTTCATGAAGAGTAAAAGCTAAAGGTTTGATGAAGGTTTTTATTCCTAATAAATTTGTTGAATAGTGATCGTAAGAAATTGTTACGCCTGCATGTAAACACGTCATTTTGATATGTTTGAACTATTATGAGTTTACCTTAGTCGGAAAACGAGAGCGAGGATTCAGCGACACGACATGCTACTCTAATCCAAGTGTCCCAACCCCCATCTTGAGTAAAAATAAGGAGACTTGATGAGAAGTAGAACATGTATTCTACAAGCATGCAAAAAGTACGAGGTCCGAGTCCAGAAGAGAATCAGGACCCCGGACTAGGGATCTGGGACCGGGTCCTGATCATAGAACGTTACAGATAATGAGTATTTATACATTTAGGTTGAATAGGAAACATCATCGAAGTCTGTAGCATTGACAGTCAAGATGACCAATAAGAAACAACCTTTGAAGGGACACTGAAATTCAGGATGACCAATAAGAAACAACATTTGAGCACGTGACATTGATATCTAGGACGATCAGAAAATTGACCAGTAGAAATTAACCAATAGGAATTGACCTATAATTCTCTTAGGATATTGGATGAATATCCTAACAGAAATATTTTGCAAATTGTGAACTGTTATTGTTGCTCAACATGTTATATTATCATTGTACGTCTTTAAATTCTATATTGTGAACTTGATGAAATCATTCATAAAATTCAGAACCCCATGAAAGCCATGTTTAGAGAAGTTTAGATGTGTTATTGGCAAGAGTGAAAGGAAACGGCATCGAGCGAATTTTCTTTTAAGGACAGTAAGCAGGAATATGTGATAAATCAGACTGCAGCTGCTATGATCAACAGCTAAGATTGTGGACAAATCCCAGTTGGAATATTTGTCTATCCTTTCAAATACTAATATGAAGGAGTATTTATAAATGATAAAATGGTGATATAAAAATTCACTATATATACATATATATAATTGACAAACTAAACTAATCAGTGGTCCTATAGTTTGTTTTCTTTTAAAACCAAATTTGTTTTGACAGATTACGCAGAGAGTATTAGCTCTGGCAAACTAACAAATTAACCACGAACATTTGGAAATAGACATTCCAAGTTTAATTAGTTTAATTAATCTAACTGAACGGAATCATAAAAAAATAATAGAGTTGTCAGTTGTCAGACACACCCACAGCTTGTGGAATGCTAATTATACACAACTTCACTGTACACAAAAATTTGGATTTAATTTAGTCGACTGTTGAGAGGAAAATATCTAAACCTAATGGTGATATTGATTTATAAATTATACAAATAAAACTATTTTTATAACTTACCTCTGTGGGTTTTTGAATAGGAGAGTCGGAAAATGTAATCTGACCAAAAGCATTTGTTGCTCCAATGATTTTTATATCGTTTGACTCTGTCCATTTATTATTATTATTATTATTATTATTATTATTATTATTATTATCATTAGTGTCATTGATTACGTCCTCATCTAAAGAACTAGCTTATAAACATTTATTCTACCACATACAGTTATCATGTTTATAATCCAATTCTCCACAATAGCATCTAAAAGAAACTATATGCAGAAACCTGGAAACTACTTAATGTGTCCATCTGGACGCGGAGGTTTATTAGGATCTGGTACAAAGTTCACACACTCTTTATAATGGAAACTTCTTAGTATAAAGCAAGATTTTTTCTAAAAGGAAACAAAATTATCTTCAAAAGTCTTGGATACAAACATTTTTTAGGTATCGTGTTCCTTCCCGTCCTAAAATCCTACTTCTGAAAGCTTTTTTCGCTCGCATAACAACGGTGGTGACGCGTCCTGAAACATTGAAAGAGTAAACAAAAAAATCTATGATAGTGTACAATATACAGTACCGGTAAATTATTCTAGGCAGAAAAAAAGCTCAAATGATTCGCAATAACCACAAAAAAAGAGGGCTTGGATATCACAATTTGAAAGATTTCAGGCTTCACAAACGTAGGACACGTTTAAAGTTCGATTTTAAGCCATATCAACTAGTTTTTTTCAGTCATTATTCACAACAGTTTTGTATATCCCTATTTCAACTAACCAAACGAACAGCCCATAAACTTATGGACTGAAGGCATATATTTATTTGACCACCCCAATCGTCTTTTCAGCATATTTCTACTTCAGCCAGACAGTCAGCTACAACGTAGAACTTCGTACACACGTACACCAGTTCAAATTACCATACCATATTGGCACATTGAGATCGAATTATCAATTCGAATCCCGTAGTAGTAAGGAATTTTTACTTCAGTCAACATCAGCGATTGATACATTGTAAAACCCTATTATTCAGTATAATAACTTTGCCAGATATCCTGCATCTGGCATTAATATTGCTAACTCAAGGATTACACCATACGCAAGAAATGTTTTGCTAATACCTATATTAAAACATAGGTAACTTATGAATATCCATCAACCTTAAAAACCAAGCAATATAATCACAGTTTAAACTGAAGACGGATATACTGTTTTTAACTCACGTAACGTAGGTTGGCAAAGTAAAGTGAGTTTCTTGAATTCGTATCTACAGCTAAACAGACACTATTTTACTAGGTTCGATCATAGGTGAAGTGGTCAACGCGCTTCACAATATCACCTCTTATCAGTAATTTAAGAATAGACACAGATTGATTCTGAAGCAAAATTTTTTATTCAAAGGAAGATAAACATATCTACAATGTGAATCGACAGTATTCGTCTGAACTGACTACTTTACTCAGTTTTTTTTATAGATATTCTGCTAAACGTAACTTTTAGTATCTTAATTCTCAGAAATCGGTCGCTCATCCCGAGGATTTTTAGTCAGTCTGAAGTATGTAGGCAACACAACATTGCTGGATAAAGATTTTGGAGAATGCTTATAAACCTGTTAAAAATATATATAGAACAAATTATAGAAGCAACCCTATATCAGGTCTGTGTGAACTCTAAGCTCGACAATGGGGTTAAATCATTGAACTTTCCACTTTCGTCTCGTGGACCCCAACCAGGTAGTCTGCATCTACCAGCATGACTCAGTTCACTTATCGGTGACTTCATGGATTTCTGCCATGTTTTGGTCTGGCCGCACCCAGCTTTCTTTCAACCTACTCCAACACCACAAAATATTGCTCGTCAAGGCAGTCGGTGGTTAGGCATACGTAACACATGTCCCAACCACCTCAAATGATGAAGTTTCACTACTTCATCAATTAATCTGCCATCCCTACCTAGTACTGCACTCCTGATTATGGTGTTGATTGGTCGATTGTACCACGATACACGAGCAATGCTTCTAAGACATCTATAATTGGATACTAATAACCTACCAAAGTCCCCTACTTGTATCGGCCATGTTTCGCATTCATATTGTAGGACAGAGCGAACTACTGCGCAGTAGACTCATCCTTTGTTTAGCAAACGGATATCTCACCTGAGCCATAGGTCACGCAAGTTGACGAAAGCCAGTCGAGATTTCTGTATCCGTGCTGAGATTTCGTCACACACCAGACTATCAGCACTGATATGACTCCCCAGATAAATGAAGCAGTCGACATGCTCAACTACTTTACTCCCTATCACTAGTTCCGGTGTAATGCAACCCAATCTTGAAGCAACATTTTGCATTCCGAGGGGGGAAACCGCATCCCGAACATGCTTGCATTGTTCCTCAGGGTTGTCAGAAGACTGCATTTTGTCAGCATCTTCGCCTAATAGAACTATATTATCGGCATACTCTAAGTCAACAAGCGTGTCTCCTGGTAGGAGGTCCACTCCTGAAAAGTCAGACGAAGAGTATGTTAACTCTAGATGCATATCTAGAATGGAGAAAGTGGACATCCCTGACGGACACCACTTGGAGTAAAGAATTCCGATGACAGCTCACCATAGGCTCTCACACAACCAGTGATGTTCGAGTGGAGAGCTTGTATAAATTTAATGTACTTCTTTGATACACCTTTCAGTGACAGACACTGCCACAAAACCTCACGATCAACAGATCCGAATACGGCCTTAAGGTTGAGAAACAAAACTATTGTGGGGCGTCTGAACGCATCTTTGTTCTAGGACCTGACGTAGTGTGAATATCTGGTCTATACATCCACGACCAGGTCTGAAACCAGCCTGGTTTTCCCAAGTTTACTCTTCACGAGCTATAGTTGGGTTTCAGAGTATTATTGAGGCCAATATTTTAGATACTATATAGTTAGACTGATTCGTCTGTGATTGTTACAAGAGGACTTTTGTACTTTCTGACAGAGTTGGACAATCAGTGATTGAGACCAGTCAGATGGTATTACGCCCAGTTCCCAGATTCTGCCTAAGATCTCAGTCAGTGTAACTGTTAAAACTGGACCATCATCCTTAAAAATCTCAGGGGTCAATCTATCAGTTCCTGATGCTTTACCTCGTTTTGGATTTCCTATAGCTTTTTCAACTTCCTAAAGAGTCGGAGAGCTTAACTCGACTTGCCATTCAGGGTGACTTTAGATCGTGGGTAACCGGAGTGTGGCTGAAGGACAGCTGAAAAGATCCCCAAAGTGTTCTGCCCAATGATTCAATCTCCTGGATTGAGAATGAATGATACAGCCATCTATTTTTGAGGTAGTTTTGTTAAGAGATGGATTTCTAATAACGGTTTCCTCGATAAGTCGAAACAATTGTCTACTGTTACTTATCGCCGCTGCCTTTTCATTCGCCCTTGCTTTTGCTACCCACCACTGTTCATGATCATTGCGTAAGCCTTTTATCAACCTGCGCTTAAACTGACTTCGCTCTTCATCATGTTCAGGGCCAGGTGGGATGTGTTTACGAGCTTCTATCAGTTCGTGGGATGCTACTGAGATCCACGGCTTCTTCCTTATTGTTTCCATAACCTTTTGGATATCATTCCAACCTGCCTCCGGATGGGAATCACTTACATGGTCGCCTAAATGTCTCATGAAATATATCTTTAGCCTTGTTGTCATTATGTAGTACACGATAAAACATTTATGGCGTTCACTGTCGAAACAAAATATCTAGATGGACCTGTTTTAAACAAAATATTTTCATCTCGGACTTTGATCAGTAAGATACCTTGGAAATAATTCAATTAAAAAATAACTTGATAGTTGGATTGGTGACACTCCAGAAACTTTCATTTAAATGGAGAGGAACCCTAAGCAGACACTAATTTTTGATACACTAAGAGAAAGTTGGAGTTTGTAGCATCAAAACAAATTATCTTGAACCTCACAAAATATGATAAAATATACAAAACGTTAATGATGTTTGACGGCAGTAAGTGAGATTTCAATACTGTCGTGTAAATTAATAGTGCAACTGGCTTTTTGTACAATCTACGACAAAAATAACGGTAAGTATCTGCAATGTAATTGGTATTCACTATACTCTAATGAAGATCATCAGAGTAAAGGCGTTTATTTACTGGAGTAGTTAAAATATGTTTCAGAATATGGGCTTATTGATGTATTCAGCTATATAAAAAAGGCGAAACTTGAACACAGTACTTTTGAGTACCTAGTGAGTACTAAAGTCCATATTTAGAGACTGTTTGAGAGAATGAGCCTTAACAATACAATTGCGTTGTAAAAATGACGGCCACCATACCTGTATTCAGTCCAAGAATCATATGAAATATCTCTTCAATTTTCTTAGAATTTTCGCAGCCTTATTAACCATAACAGAAAAAACATGAGTGACGTGAAATCAAGAAAAAACCAGTTAAAATTTTCCATTGAGCGCAACTTCAATTTCATATGCGTATTACTTCGAGATGAGTTTAGAATCAGCTTCGCTCGTAACCAAGCAACCCACATGAGTTTTAGTGATGAACAGTGGGGAAGCATAAATAGGCTTCACCATTACGCTTGTTTCGCAGACAGAATATTGAAAAAAATATTTCGTCAGCTTGCTGATAGTTATACATACTAAGATAAAATGTCTTTATCACAAGCCAGACACGTGTTTTGAAAACTGAACAAAGAGAGAAGTTTCATACTTCAATATAACTTGCCTGCCTCATTCTGATCTCCGAATATATTTTCTATGCCACTAGAATCACCCTCGTGATACATAGTACAATAACTGAATTGTGCACAACGACTAGGTCGTTTGTAGGTCACAGATAAGTAGAACAACTAAACAATTAAGCTATATATGATGACAAGAATAAGTTTTCATACAGGCTGACAAGATTTGTCGTCATTGTTCGATGTGTGAAGAATAAATAGTGAATCACTTAACAAATGGTCTCAATGTGGCTGATGAAAGTGATGATGATGCTGCAAATTACGAAAAGAAATAACTTGCTGAATAAGCAATAACTTCACTATCTCGAAAGACAATACTTCTCTTAAGATGTAGTTGTATCACAGTATTTCAGATAAAAACAGTGATAATAATAATTTATTCTCAACTAGTAATGTGTTGCATCAGGCAAGACAGATTGCAGCTGTTATCACATTTACTGTTTTCCAAGTTAGATATTTTACTATGTACTTCAGCCACAACATTTAAGGAGTGATATTTTCCACGAAAAATTGTAACTAGTGTTTCAGGGATTAGGAGGTACAATGCAATAGTTGGAACAAATTTGCCGAACTAATTGCGGTATGTTGAGACTTATATTTAACAGTAATTGATGAATTAGGTGCTCAGTATCTCCAGATGACTACTAAGCAGACGTCTAAAAATCAGCCGTAAGTCTACTGAAATATCAGGACCACTATATAGGGCGAAGGACATGTGTATCCGTTAGTATATTACAACAGTTCTGGAACAAGAAGAATAGACATAGGGATAAGAAGTAGAGCAGAAAGTAGTCGTAATTGGAGGTTAATCATGAATCAGCAAATGTATTTAGGAGTAAAACACTACTTTGGCTACTTCGGCCTCTTTTCCCTTTAGTTGACCAGTTATTGCATATTCGCATTTATTTAGGTCAATGAATATAGGTCACAAGTAAGGCAACATATGGGCAGATTAATTTTTGAATGGAGAATATTGAAAAAAAAATTGTCTAAGTGATTTGATGCAATAATTGTATTTCGTATAACATGCTGCTTTTCTACCAATGATTTTATGACTTCCCGATTGAACTCCTTCTTTGCATAATTTTCTGGGTCAGCTTGTAATATAATTTTTTGTAGGAAGTGAGGCCAGTTCAGTGTTATAAACTTGAATTAAGGACGTAGTTTACGTTCAGAGGTAATGTTAGTGACTCCCTTTTTCCTCTTAAGGAGCCGTAAGCAGACATAGTGTTGACCCACAAATATTGGTCGATTGAGGTTATCGTATCACTATCATATTTACTGATCAGGTAAACCGCCCTCCCTCCTTTTGTTCAATGATTATCTGTCACACTTCAAGTATGTTCTAAAAGCTTTTTAGTCCAGGCTCTATGTTGTGTATCCTATCTCATCTCGTTACTAGTGAACCAGACGGCTTAAGCTGCAGTTCGTTGGGTTATGTATCCAGTGACCATATCATACCGACTGATTGTATAAATCGTTAGATTCAGACTAATTAATGGGTAGTGTGAAGATGTACCGACGTTTGTCATAAAAAATCGCTTATCATAACATTGATATTTTCCTAATACATGCAGTGACCATTATTCAACATTAAATTACCTGCAACTGTTCAGTAAATACCATCGATAGCTAACTACGAGACTTACACCGAAAGAAATAAAACTAAAATAGCAGATGCGAACTTTGAGTGTTGAATAAATTGCCGTAAAGGTAATGAGTCGCGGAACTACTATGTAGTGACAGAATTTACAACCCCTTCATATGCACCATCAGAGAACTGAACTCACGAAACATTACATTCACAGATACCAACATCTCTATATGAGTAAATACAAAGTACATAAAACTACCTCCATCGGTTTGTGAGAAGTACACTAAGAAGTAGAAATGATCACCTTGGTGCCTGAACATAATTTATACAGCTTCCCTGTTCCTTTATAGGAGGATGACGAAACATTCAACCATCAGCTTTCATCGTGGCTTACAATATTTTACTGGGTTTGGATATATGTATTTTAATCAGATTTCGAAATTGTTTGTTGAAAACTTTGGTCTTCGTTATTTTCCGGTCATGATCTTTTTGTTTAAAGATTTGCGAATTTCGTTCTGCGAACCTAAAATTGAAGGTTTGGTGTATATATCCTTATAATTTCCATCAGATAGCTAAACATATACTGATTACCCGTAATTAACGAATATACTTTAGTTCCACAAACAGGTATTTTCGATTTTGCAAGTTAATAATCTGTCAGTATTAGTTTTCGGTATTTCAAGAACAGACTAGAGAAGCATTTAGATGTAAGAGATATATGTGTAGGCTCCAATCAACCGCGAAGAATCGCAGCGTTATCGTGTGCCATATATGAACCTTGTATTTCTTAAAGTAATAAACCATTTTTGACAGTCATAATGAGTAGCACATTTAGTTTCGAACAAACAAAATGTTTATTTCAGCCTACTGATAAAGCTTATTTACTCAGCACAACTCCAGACAGCCTACAGATTTTTAACAGAACCTAAAGTGATATAGTATTTTGATGATTAGCTCTAACTGTTTAAATACGCAAATAAATATACAGCACCATATCATCGGTTAATTCTGCTTTTATTCTACATCTTGGAGTCGATCCAGTATGTCCTAGTGCTTTTCTGTTGGATCTTACAAAGATCATCTTAGTGAATACTATTCGCACTGTGATGCTGTTCTTGTCTTTTTCACCGGTTTGCCGCTGACAGCAAAGAAACTTACAACATGGTACCCGAGTCCGTATGCTGCTTTAATTCATGTATATAATTTACGTAAAATATCATCCACTATATACACCTAAAAAACTTATCTTTCATAAGAATCTATCTGTCTTCTATTCAAAATGGTACGTAGTATCAATTTGGTCCTTTTAATGCTGGTGTAAGAACTTCAGAGTGAGCGAGGTATGGATAGTTCAGGGGAAGACATGATGATATATTGTCACTCGCACTCCTCGTTGATTTAACTTATCTCTAATATGATGCAGTACCAAGCTTTATTTTCGAACACACCTACTCAAGAAAAAATAATGATGATTTTGCAAGGAAATAAGTTGACTTGTTTTACTGTTGGGCCCAAAATGTTGCTCAGATACTCACTTGGCTTTCTATTTAGTTCTTTAATGATAGATGGTTGAGAGAGTGCGATTTTACCACAAAACCAGTGTTTGACTTTTTGCCATAAAAACCATGACAAGAATAAACCAATGATTAATATGGCCAAACGATATCTCCCAAATTTTAAGACTACTTTACTGAAATTTATCTTGATTTCAACAGCCCATATAAATCCTATCTACTGGCTTACAACTGCTTGTCTGATCCACTCTGAAAGGTTTTTAGTAGTGACCGAGTAGAGATTGACCATGATTACCACTAAATACTGAATACTAACCCGTCACTGATAAGATAAATGAATACACGGTAAAAAATATTTTCTGGTGATTTGGTGGTGTCCAAAGGACATCGAAATGACACCAAGAAAGTGGGAGGAATCAAAGAGCAGCTATAGCTAAGATGGTAGCAACACGAACAGAAAGTTGTGCGTAAAATGTGTTCTGAAAAAGTGCAGTTAAAAAAATACTGGAAGAATTGGTTATAATAATGAATGTTCCTACTAACCAATCTCGTTCTCTTCATAAATGTTTTCCACTACGGGTTAAACAAAGATCTGGAAATATAAGTAGTAGCATTGTTTCTCTTTTTTCTCGTTCCCCTATGTCGCTTCTCAGAACTCTATCAGTAGTGAATAACCATGATGCTTCTGCACAAAACGCACCCTACATAAGCGTGAGTCAAGGTTACAGCCTAAACCAAGCCCCTTCCAGTCGAAACCTCCCAGCAAAGTCACTTCCGAGTTACGAGCACCTACAAAATACTCAACTATATACTCACCTTATTTGTAATCACTTCATTAAGATGTGTCGATATCAGCTGTTCCTGTAAGTGAAATGCCTTTAAGAAGCTGTCAGAAAAAGACTCGTATTATTAATCTAACTAAGCAACCTTTTACAGTAGATGTGGTAGCAATTGTAACAGTTTGATCTTGCCTGTAAACTGGCATGCCTCATGTAACGCACTGTTATTTTGAACAATAATAATTATTATTATAGAAATGTTGGTGGACGAGATTGTTTACTACTTCAAGTCGTCTGTTTGGAGTCAACTACAGAAGACTTACTGCCGAAGGCTGCATTTTGAAGTGAGTCGCTAACTTTCCTCATCTTGGATCCTATTTGGTCCTAAATTTAGGAGATGTGTATCTTCCTATAGTAGATCACGCTGACCACTTAAGCAATAGAAGTAATAAATGTGTCGCAGCTCTTTTCTTAACATTATTGAGGAATAAGGAAAGCCTGCAAACGCTAAGTTAGTAACTTTGCGGTCAGCATGTCATAAACCACTGGAGATGAACGGCGAATTCACCGACTAAGAATTTCAAACTATCAACCTTTCAATCCTAGCCCCCGTGGGTAAATGTGACCACCTCGTCAAAACCTTCGTTTTTCTGAATGAAGGTGAGCTAAAAGATTGGAATTGTAAATGGTCAGAAGTGCCATTACAATGAAGTGGTATTGATCGCAATAAGTAACTCATCATTGCTGTAAGGAGAATTCGGATTCTGCAGCGTCAGTTCATATCGTACAATTGTTAGAGATTAAAATAGTTAATCACAAGTCGTGTACAATGGAAAGATATTGTGGTGATTGTTTTACCTGACGGATTCAATCAGCAAGGATTTGAACACTCGCTGACGGATGTTATGTTTATAATTGCTACTGTGATGTTTGTAAAAATCAACCAGTAAGACTATTAAAAGGGTTCTGGCGCAACTTTCAACTGGCAGCCGTTCAACTATTTGAAGGTTAGCTCCGTTCACAATTGCAGTGTATTAAAATCACACTATCTGCTCCTATTTCTAATTTCGATGTTCTCTTAATTTGAGATTTGTTTGTAATGATGACTTGTTCATTACTATCCATACAACATTTAAGAGTACTTTGCTTGCTTACTGGGTCGTTGGCTCAGCTCTAATTTCTCCTAGTTCTCGCCATTCAGGCTACATTGCATGTCCTCCTAGTACACAAAGTACTTTCAGGCTATATATATACAAACTACCACACCATTATGTTCATTTAAGGGCTTAGTCGTGATCGATTCGAAATTGAATAAGATAAAATATAATATTCATTTTGAGCAGTACCATATTTTGCCAAACTTCACATAGTTAACTTCCCTAACTTCCACTCTTTCTTGTATTTCAAGCTTGTCGTAAACCGAATGGATGTAAACAAAGACATAGAAAAATATGTTGACATTGGAATTTAGAAGTTTGTGGTGTAAAAATGTTAAAATGGCCATGACATTTTATTGTATGCATTTTTAAAATTGTAACAAAAACGTCAAAATCTCTATTATATAATAAAAAGTACATTGCGTTTATATTATGTTCACTATATACATAAGTAGAATGGGCGACCTACTTCAGGCTTACTTATTCGTGAACGTAACATCGAGTCGGTCACATGGCCTGATGGTTAGTAAGAACGAGTAGTTAGTTAAGTGGAATAATAAAGTGATATACTCTCAGTTGTGGGAGTATCTCACCAGATAACGTTTCAATGTTTGACAATATTGTGCAACTAATAGTGTAATATGTAGTGAATGTGTAAGGCCTGCAGGATAAAAAAAGTTAAGATGTATTTTCAATCAAGGTTTTTTGATAATGTCTACAACTTTAGATAGCACGTGCAGGTGTATTATACAAATATTTAACAATTATTACTCACTGTAATCATTAAATTCTCAGATTAGATTGATAAGGTTTCAGAAGTAATAAGTATTGGAGTTAGTGCCAGTGTTCCTCCAAAACGTAAAGATGAAAGGGAGCTCGATATTGTCGCAGGTGCTTCCACTCGTTGTATTCTATAACATTCTAATCTTCTGAATTCCGCACCACCTTTATCTTTTTCCTTTTAAGTTTATTTCACTATATTCTACTTCCTGAATACTATCTTGGAACCCTAATCTTGATTACCAGTAATACTTCTACCATCTCCACCACTATTGGATTTGAACTGGCAGTTGTGTCTCTGCTAATGTGGCATGACAACCCGAACTGATGTACTTATGTACGAAGTTCTACGTTGTAACTAACTGTCTGGCTCGATATTGTTAGGAATTTAGTGGTTATTTGTTAGTATACCATAACCGCCTTCAAGTCGAGACTGTTTAGAGACATCCATGAGCCATTCTGATAAGCCATTTGATTTATGGAGGTGGGTGGGAATTAACTGTCTCACTGTCTTCACGGAGTTTCAGGGTTCTGAATTTAATTGGAAGTTATCTCCAGTTGCTAAGGTCTTTGTCGTGCTAAAACATAAACTAATCATTGCCTCTGCCATCCTATAGTAACGAAATAGGCTTTTGCTTGAAATATGTCAGTGAAGTTTACACTAATCACCTGCCAGTTTTTCTGCGATTAGACCGCCCCTTACAAATCACAGAATTTTAGAAACTTGGAGACCAGAGCAATGTCTGTCACATGTTTTCTATATATCATGGTCTGTTGAGTGCTAGTAGTAGAATAGTGGTAGAATACTGCGAAATTCTTTAAGAACTTGGAGAAGTTTCTAGAACAACTAGTCGATCATTGAGCACTACATATTAATTAACAGTCACAAGATGGCCTCAACTACGAATATACTAGCATTTCATTTTGTGAGATTTCATGGCGGCAATAATTTGGTGTCTCTTTCTTGATTTGGCTTCATTACCGATCTATTACTGCAAGTGGTCTTACAGCATTGATCAATTCTTATTTAAGTCCATCCAGCCCTGGTTATCGGGCTTATTTACTCTATAATTCAAACATCGTTCATTAAGGCTGCAAATATTACATTTTTATACACTACATAGGAAGCTATACCCAGCCACATCTTTAAGTACCCAATCAGCTACTCTAAATCCACCTACTCTGTTTCTATTATAATTATATCCAAGTATACTCAAGCAGCAAAGATGTTTTGTTGCAAGTAGTGTTTTAACGGACTCAACTTTACACGGTATGGACCATCATTCGGCTTGGTGACGTGGAGTTGTTAGCGGTTTAGGTTATCGACTAAAACATGTGTTCGAAATCCTTACTGCGGTTTTGGCAATCCATTTATAACTCACTATCCAATATGTTTGGTTGGAAGTTGAGTATTTGACTACTTATCTGGATTATTTGTATCTTCATATTAAGAAATTGTCTGTTGTAATCACATTCAACTTGTTGATCGTTGTTATAATTGAAGACTATAATGACTACTCTCACCTATTAAGTATACCAGCCTTACATAAATGAAAGTGACTAAACGTCTTCTATTGTCAAGGTTTAGTAAAATAATTTTTCCCTACCGCGACTAGCTGATTGCACTATGCATGCGTCGCAGCGGTATTCACTATTTATATTTACTCAAAACTGATGAGGTGTTAAGTTAACGTGATTAATATATATAACTATCTCCTGTACCAATACCCAATACAGATAAAATTTATCGCAATTGTACGTTGAAGGTTTAATTCAAAACTATCTGCCTATCCTAGCCCACTCGCAAATTCACTGATGTGTGATCCATAAATATTTAGGTGCACCTTTGTACCAATAATCGTGTTAAGATAAATAAGTAAAATAATTCAAAATCTACTCTAACGCAATTAAAAGAAATTACAACGACATAGTATCCTTAAACGTCTGCTTAATTCTGATTTATTCTATTTTAGAGGCATTTTTTGATGAGATCTCATCTTCTGAAAATCGTGGTATTAAGGTCACCTGTTAAATATTACTATTTTTTTGCATTATATCTACAGTAAGTCATTGAACGGTACCGAAATTCTCTAGTTCTGTTGTGACTGACTGAGTTCTGTTCGCATTGTATATGTATATTCAGTGTGACGTGAGCAAAGTGTTACATTATAGTCTGCAGGAAAATAACTTATGAATCACTAACGCAGTTCATTCGTTGACTGGATCTTATTTCATCATCTGATAGCGACTCACCTGAATTATTACTCATTAGTCAGTTAGTAATGTGCAATGTAAAACTTGATAGACATACGTGTCGTATCAAGTTACCGTGCCACATTAGCACAACAAAATAAAATCATGAAGATGAATTCCACGGTAGAAAAAGTAGTAACTACCAGTTGTAATAAAAATGATTATGTATAAAAAGAATAAAACTTTATAGGCTTTTAGAACTCAGGAGTGAATGTATCTGCTCCATTGCAAACGATGCTGGGCCATGTTCTTGACCATTGGTTACGATAACCAACCGGGTAGTCTACACCGATTAATGGTACTCAGTTCACTTGTTATTTGCTTCATGGGCTGATGCAACGTCTTGGCGTGACTACCTATAGATTTCTTCTAGTTCACTAGACAACCACCCATTGGGATAGATAGCAGTCGGGGATATGTAATACATGTTCCAACCACATCAAGTGATGGAGATTCACCATGCTAATCAATTTGCTATGTTAAATTATCACCCTGCATGTAACCTTGTAATAAGTGACACGAACAATCGTTCAAGGCACCTGTGATCGGAAACTATTAATCACTAAATATCAAGTATTTTCATAAACTACCCTCCACAGCCATAAGGTAGGACAGTAAAATTCGTTCTTTAGTTGGACGACATCTCACCGACGCCACAGAGGACGCAGGTTGACAGAAGCCGAAATTTATAATTTCATGTTGAGATTTCCTCAGACACCAGCCTATCAGGACTTGTGAGACTTAAAAAAATAAATGAAGCGATCAGCTATCAGTTCAGACGTTGACACAGACCAGTCCCGAAGGGACATTTTACATTTGGATTTGAAGAATCGCAACCTAAACAAGCTCTCATTATTGTGAAGGGTGATAAAAGGACTTTATTATTCCCTGTTACTAGTTGGAATGAATTAAAAGCATCATACTCGGACTTAAAATGATGAATTTCGTTCTTAACTGTCTTTAAGTAAAACTAATGAAATAAGCAAAAAACGTCTTATCACCTGTTATTTATTTCAATTTCGGAGTTAGAAAATTAGGGGTCATAATTTTCACACGTCAACAATCGTGCAATAGAGGTTGTGAGACTATTCATCCCTTGTATGTACAAAGTGAATTCATCTAGGGATCTGAGGCGTCCTTTAATCAAAACAGTTAAGAAAGAATCTGTGGTTCAGTGTTCTGCAAAATGTTGCTTAAAAATCAAACCAGGAAAAGAGTGATGAACCAACCATTTTTATCACTTATGAAAAAAACTTGAAGATTTTTCAATATTGTTGAATAGATGAAATTGTTATCAAATGATACTTCTCTTTCTGTATGCGTTCAAGTAACTTCTTTTGTGTATATCCATTGCTGTTCACAGTTTTATGTGATTGCAGTAAATACTACGTGTAATTCTATGAGTCGTTCAGTAATATTCCTTTGTGTACACTAACTCCAGCTCATAAAGAGGTTTAATCAAATAGTGACAGAAGTAAATATGTAGTTCTTTCCTGGCCTAAAGATCCACCTGTCTATCAACTTGTGTCCCTACAACGGACTCTTCATGGCTGTTTTGTAGTACACTGATAAATCTACATAATAGGACACGAGTTTGTTTTATTCCAGTACTCACAGTGTGTCGCATTGTTTTATTGAACTTTATTTTATGTAGTTGTATGTTAAAATTTTCAAAGGTGATTTCATATTTTTTTTTCTCTGAATTTAGAATGTTCTAAAGCTTCTGCATTTTTGTCATGTTAAGAATATGCAATTGGTTGACAAAATGCAACTTATCACCATACCATTGCACACTAAGACTTTCTTCCAAATATCAGTTTTTTAATGAATCTGACCTGTATGAAATGTTCGTTCTTGGTACTGGACCGGGTGGCCAGTCAATTAATACAACTGCCAATTGTGTTGTCTTAAAACACATTCCTACAGGTATCGTGGTGAAGTGTCAGGTATTTTTCATGTGTACCTTTTTTCACATTATTATTTTTTTTTAATTAAGACCCCGTGTTTCAACATGTAACTTTGGTAAAGCAAATCAACCCATGAAGTTCTAAACATACTACAGTAACCTAAGCTGAATGAGCCATGTATCATAAATGCAACATCCTCATTTTATAATAAAGTTTGTTTCTAAATAATTTGTGATGATTTAAAAGAAACTAACAATAATCAATCCATGAAACAATGACCGTTTCATTAAATTATTTACAAATGGTATAGTCATGTACAGGAGTTTATACTTGGTTGTGGTCCTTGAAATAGTTGTCCCATTTATGTTTTGTGCATAAATGAAACACTGGATGTGATGAAGATTATTTAATGCGCACGAAATATTGATACTGTATTAAAATAAGGGGGTGAAAGTTAAGTAGTTTATGCAATTGATTGCAAACTATATTTAAAAAAATATGCCCCGTGAACTCAACAACCTAGAAAACCTATATTCATCCATTACTTATATCAGTCATCAATGACTTAATCTAATCACGCTCAGGTTTTTATCCAACTTCAACATTTTGAATCGTAACACACCAAGTTAAACGTGAATAAGATTATGTAATGCAAAATAATAATAATAATATCCACCATCCCGCAATTAGTTGGTTCAGTATCCGTGCGGATGCTTAACCTCTGGTCACCTGAGCAGGTATGCCATTGTGTTGATGTCTAACTTTTAGCGATTCGCAATACTGCCTAAGCATACTAGTAATTTAAGGCAGCTGTGTAATGTTCATTACTTTTTCAAGGTTCAATATTCAATACTATTTCCTGTGTACATTTCATAGTAGAATTCCTTATGCTGTTTCTCTTTTGTTATTGTAGGATAGTAGAGAGCTGGAAAGAAATCGTGTATTGGCTCGTCGAAGATTAGATGATAAATTAGATGTACACTTTAATGGAGAAAATAGTCAAGTCCAACAAATTCGTCTTCAAGAAAAATCTAAGGAACATCAGCTTTATTTACGGTCTAAAAAACGTCTAGCTGCAAAACAAGCGTTTAAAGAACTTGTGGGTTTAACAAAAAACAGATCGTCAAATCAGAATGATGTGAATATCAGTGTGAAAGATGATACTTAATTATGTTAACGACTGCTTAGATTCATCGCCAATCATAATTCACCATGTTGATGTTATTTTACAATGTGAACTGATACATGTGTGTTAAGTTCTAATTTTCCTGTGACTGACTCTACAGATTTCCAAATAATAAATTTATGCGATTAACTTATCTTTTGTACAGTAGACCTTTACTTTTCATTGTTGTCATTAATAAATATTGTTTGTTAGGATACATTTCTGTTTTAACTTATATTACGTAATTAAATCATGTCAGTAGTAAGGGTATCTGTTGAAATATGTATAGATCGTACAAGTAGTGTTCGCTACTTTAAGTTACATTGATTGTTATTTCATTAGACGTTTTTCAAATCTATAAAACGATCTATACAAGTACACGTAGTTTTTTTTCAAACAGTGAGCTATTTGATGCTGCTACGTTGAGTCGCAGGTAGATATTTAATATACTGAACTAGTTAGAAGTAACCTAGTGAAAAAGCCATATGGTGACCAGAAAAATCCTAAGTGGCGAATACTTTTTTAAGGAAGTAAATGCATATACGTAGACGAGTATTTGTTCATATGATTCGGTATTCAAATATACCGCTTTTTGCTCAACCATCTCGTTGAAATCTCCGCACCGCGCATTATGAAAATGTTGCAATCTTTGCACATTATCCCTAAATTTATAGACTATTTAAAATTTTCAAAAAACAAAATGGAAAGATATCTTAAAATTTATCACTTAAAGATCATATCACTCCTGAACACAATTCATATGAACAAACGAGAACTCAAGTACTAGATGTTGGTTGAATAATCGTTCATGTATTATCCGGTTGGATAGGTCTGTAGCCTTTGGCTTAATGAAATGTTTCTTTGAGCTTGAAGATGTATTCCGAAAAGAATTATTTGGGGACTTCAAACGTGCATGGAGTTCTCATTTAAAGAAAACTGTTAGGATGATAGAAACGGCTGCTGGAAATACATTGATCATAAATGTTTCAAACAACTTCACAGACAAATTATAAGGTTCACAAAATGGTAACGCAGTACACTTGGATTTCAAGAAATCTATATATTCAGGAAAATCTGAAAGAAGATGCCCCGAATACCCTCCAAGTGACTGTAATCTTTTGTGCGCCGTGCACCTCATGCATTAAAGTGGAACCGGATTTGGTTTGCTCCATACTTCGACAATGACCAATGTTGTGTATCATACACGTTTAAATTACTATAAAAATTGAACTTATTTTAATTAATTAATAAAATAATTATGCATGCACGTTACAATGTAACAAATTTGATTTAAAAATGGATTGACAAAACGGAAATTAGTTTTTTGGTCAATAACAAAAAAAATGTAATTTAAGAAATTACGTACTAAATCTTGAAAGTACAAATAATATCACGGTTGATGATAAAGGGTAGGAAGTAATAACGAAAAAAAAATACACAAGTCATTCATCAACATGATATTTGGAGAAATATTTATTTTAATTATTGACAAAAATATTTTGAAAGACATGACAAAATGTGTATTCGAAAATATTTACTTATGTAAACCAATCAGTTGATATTCTAGACCAAATTTTAATGACGACATTCAACAGGATACACACTTGAGTACTATTAGATAGTAAACTTATTTCATATTGTTGTAAGCGTGTACAAAAAAAATGCGCAACCGAGTGATTCATATATTTATGCTCTTCATGGTATCATTTCGGCTGAAGTTCTACCAATTATATTGGAAATTCTTATATTCTGTCGTAACGTAGGAAGACGATAAGTTGTTGAATGGTCCAGACTGTAGGATGAGTAAAATTGTGGTAACTTTTTTTGAGAGGTGGTAGTTCCCGACTTTTTCTCTACAGACTGTAAGTGCGCATGATGAAAAACGCATGGATTTGTACAACAAGTAGCCATTCTAGTTGATTTGTTCACTTTACGCACACCTTTACCGTCGTCGCCTTTCATACTATGAGCAACTATTTGACTTGATTTGTTAAACGGCAGTGCAGAGAACTGTGCATGAGAATTTGTTTCTGATACAGCCTTTAAGTATTGATCATCAATATCTAAAGCACCATCAGACTCATCAGATATTGAACGAGGACTACGTGCTGAATGATCAATGGGACCAGATTTTGGAATAATACGACGAGAGGAGCACCGTGGTATAGAATAAATAGATGGAAATATAATATTAGACTGAGTTACATCATCTTTCGAAATAGATAATGGTAACTGATGCATAGCGAATAAAGACTCTCGACTAGCAACTTGGTGTGTTTTATGCAGATTTGAAGTGTTAAAGCGCTTTAAATGATGAAACGAATACATAGAAATAATCTACAAAAATTAAACAGATACATAACGAAATTCTCACTAAGTACTAATTATACAATGACAATAAATTCAAAATAAATAGATTTTAAGTGAGTTGAATGCAGTGAGTGCTTTTCATATTATAAATTTACTGTTTAGATGTTGTTGAATTCATTGAACATTTGTTTCTGTCGTTGTCTCAATTTGAATCAAACTCATGTTTTTATATGAAGTGAATTGGAATAAATTCATCGGTAACCTAGTACTTTATTCACGACAAGTAATTTTAATTGATTATGCAAGCAGTTTAACTAATGGTCTATGTATTTATAGATGAAGTATTGGAACTTCATCAGTTGAGGTGGTTGGGACATGTGTTACATATGCCTAACCAACCGAATGCCTCGACGAGCGATGTTTTGCAGTGTAGGAGTAGGTTGGAAGAAAGCTAGGGGCGGCCGAACCAAAACAAGGCAGAAATCCATGAAGTCACTGACTAGTGGACTGAGTTATGTTGGTAGATGTCGACTACCTTGTTGGGGTCCGCGAGATGTTAGTATTCGATGGTTAGAGACCTTGAACGACATGGCTCAAAATCGTTTGCAATGGCGCAAGTGCATCCACTCTTTGTGTTCTCTCAATTTCTAATCTTCTAAATTCCGCATAATCTCTATCTTTCTCTTTCTAAAGTTATCTCACTGAATTATACTTCTTGAATCATATCTTCGAACCCTAATCTTCCCCATTACTGCTAATACTTCTACAATCTCTACTACTATTGGATTTGAACTGACAGTTGCGTCTCTGTGTTAATGCGGTATGACAACTTGAACTGATGTACTTACGTACGAAGTTCTGGGTTGTATCTGTCTATCTGTCTGATCTGTGTATTTAATTAGACATGGACGCTAACACTCTGATTAAATTTGTTCATTCACAAGTATGTTCTAAATCATTCACATATAGTTGTATACCTAGGAAATTCATCAAGAATGACAATTTTCTAATCAGAATACGTTGATTTCATAGGATTACCATAGAGAGGATGGAATAGGTCTATTAAGTGACATTCTTTCAAACACCGTTTTCGGGTTTCATTATGCTGATAGATAGCAAAACGATTGTGAACAACTTAAATGAAGTATGATTTTGGATGACTGATGAATTTTTTTAATAGCTACAATCTAACTCTGTTTATTTACAATGTTATATACCCAAATGTAAATCACGACTATTATTATTATTATGTCACAAAAAACATTTACAAAAAACGGTGAATTGACCACTTGCATAAATCGTTGTTGAATATCATATCATAAATGTATACAAGCAAACGCAAATTATGCACTTCATTTTAATGGGAATTTTGGAAAAGTGTGTAAATGATAAACAAGATGTTGTTATTACAATAGGTATGTAATAAAAAAATTCTTGAATCTAATTGATCATGACAAATTTATTAATATAATAGGGGCATCGCATTGAAGAATATATTAGGATATCCATCAAATATCTTAAGAAAACTATTTTTGTAAGTGTAATTCAATTGGTCAATTCCTACTGATTAATATTATAGTCGTCCTAACTGTCAATGTCACAGACTTTAATGTTGTTTCCTATTCTACCGAACTGTATAAATATGCATTATATATAAAGCTTATTATTCCTTCATCCCTTCTGTACTCGACCCCATAAACAACTTCATCTAACGGTGTTGTGTTCTCTGATATATATTGGAGATTTGAGAACAGTATTTGGGATGGTATTGGAATATTTGAATTTGGTCAATCGGTAGGATTCCGAACAGCTACATAACAGCATTATAACAGGGTAATATCACAGTGTTCACACACAGACGCCTTATTATGCTCAATGAGTACTTATGGTTACTTGAAAAAAAAAACAGCGTCAAAACTGTAAATGGAACTTTAATATTGACAGAACTAGATGATAGTGAATTCCTTTTCTGAAACTATATTCCTTTTTAAACCGATTTGTTCGACGATGTCAATGTCAAATTTTAATATGATTCTATATAACCGAGCTGTTGAGAACCGACATAATTAAAAAGGATTTCGTTTCATCTAAATACTGAAGGAAATTTCCACAATACAAACAGATCGATAAGCACCGGTTTAAATACCAACTCTGGTAATAAGTACTGTGTACACATAGCTTACCAAAATCCAGATAAATTAAGGAGCATTAAAAAAACGACCAATATAAAAGGCAATAAGAATTAATTTTGATAGAACAGTGAGAAGACGTAATTGATCTGAAAAATGTGATGTATTTGCGCCATACATTTCGAACAATCTGGTCACACATTTTATATGAAGACGAATAAAAGGAACATGTACCTCAGTGGCTTCAAAATCAGTTAACATCAGATGAGCCGATTAGCGCTGGAAATATAAAACCATGTTCATCGATCGCAAAACACGTAACTGAGACAGGGCATAAGATTGACATCAAGACAGCCTTCAAAACATTGTATGTAAATGTTTAAGGACGAATTTTGAGGTTTATAGAGGCCTTGGCCATTAGAAAATTAAAACCCCCTTTATGTGTGCAGAAACAATTTGTCATAACCTTGAATTTATCCTCGTAATCTTTAAGCTTAGGGTAATGTGACAATTTCCTACCCTTTCTTATTCTTTACATATTACGTTAATTTTCTCTCTCCTTTATTTACAATTATCACCTTATGTCTATTTGAACTTTTATTTAATTGACCTTTTCTTAATCTTTAGATAAAATGCCTTGACAAGTGCAAATATGTGTGACCAGATTGTTCGAAATGTATGGCGCAAATACATCACATTTTTCAGATCAATTACGTCTTCTCACTGTTCTATCAAAGTTTATAAAATGGGGTAACTATTTTAAATAAGAATTAAATCTAAAAATAAGGTCATTTTTTTAATCATAAACAGACGATAATGACCTATGAAGGATAAATAAATATCTTACAATCATTTGTAATCTGAGTGAAATTTTAATCATGTTTACATAGTGTGAAAATAGTTTGTATACATGAAAATAGTTTTTTTTTCTTTCGAAATATACGACTTCGTTTTGTCAACTTGCTGCTTCGTCTGTTGATTGATAGATATTATTTATTAAGAGTTGTCCTGCATCTATAAATCAGATTAGTCATCAATATTTATTAGTCAGCTAGTTAGTGAAGCGTCCACAAACTGACACGTTTTTTTTTTCGGTTATAACACTGATTACTCGATTATTCAACTAATTTGCATTATAACATTTGCGAAAATTTTTTTAATGAAAGTGGGAAAATGAAAACCTAGTTTAAAGAATACTCTAAGTTACAAATCATTAAGTTGTTTCAATAGAGGAGAACTACTATATCAGCAGATATGATGGTGAAAGTCAGTCAGTACGAAACAACAAAAAAGGCTTGGAGTATCCATGTGCGGACATAAATTTCCGTATCAAATAAGCATAACGAGATTGGAATTGTTAAACTATAGCAGTCAAATCAGTAGTAACAGTGAGAGTACAATCGGATTAAATGTAAATAATGTGATTAGCGAAGAAAGAATGAATTTGTGGAATGAAAAGGTCAAAATAATTTTTAAAAGACAATATTTAAAGGAAGGAGAAAAGTGTATGCATCTACAGAATATGAACTGATCTTTAGACATGTCATTTAACAACTGCAACCATTGTGTTATAGATTATTGTGCGGATTTTAATCAGGTAGTCTGCATTCATTCATCAACATAGCTAAACTAACAGTCAATAGCTTCACGAGTTGATTTAATAATCTGTAGTTTTAGTTCAACTTACTCTTATACTGATTAATATGGCGCGTCACGCGTCAGATGATAGTTAAAATGTATGTAATAAATCTCACTACCTACTCCGTCGATAAAGTTTTACTACCTTAACCTGAGTTTGATATCACTATTTTACACAATCGGTGGTCTTATGAAATGTCAATGACGCTTTTTGAAAACACAAATGATAAAATAGGAGTAAACTTACAGTGACTAATTAGAGTTAGACATAAAGAAATTTCTTACAAAGTAAAAAGGATTGACTTGATGCATTGTTCAATAACCTTGGTTTGCTAAAGCATATCAGACAATTCTAATTAGTGAGTATGTTTAACTCACTTGTTAAGGACAGGTTTATATAACTCACCTTCCAGTTACCTAGTTAATAGGAGAGACTGGCGAAAATCGTCTATTTGAAACAAGATGGATTAGTGTTGAGCTCATGAACAACTAACAACATTACTTGGTTATTGATGATTCCTTAACAATGATCTCTAACCAATACACACACATACAATAAGGAAGAAACGAAGTTCACAGTTACTGAACTGCATACAATAAAAGCTAAGCATTCATGAACCAAAGAGATCAAAGAACTATTATAATGAGAAGTAAAGGTAAGAGAAACAAATATAGTATCAAGTGAGGGCTTAATTCAATTTTCAACTATGGGACAACAGATTTAAACTACTCATTCGATCTGGTTTACTTTAACCAATTGAATTATACCATTGGAACAACGTGGAAATACTGGGTAGGGGGAGGACAAAGAACACTAGAGAATTTTTAGAAGCTTGGCACTCAGGTCAATTAGCAATCAACAAACACATCGACATTGACCCAATTTATCAACCAATCAGGAAAATCATAGGTGACACTAGATCAAGAAACAGATCAAAAGAGGGAGGCAATCAAAACATAGTTGCAAACAACGACAGGTCAAATGTCAACAACAACCAATCAAGATCGAGGTTAGCAGAACAAGCTACAGGTCAAACGTGGAGAAATTCTAATGCTTCACTTCTATCTGAAGTTCGTGCTGATGATGTTGTTCAGAAGAACAATGAAAGCTCCACAACCAAAACAACCAGCTCAGAGAACAAAACACCACCACATTATGTTTCATTTAAAAAGAGTAAATAAATTTGAGACATCTTATTCTTTGATCTACTTACTAAGTTATATCGTTAAGCATAGTTTAGAGTGATTCACTTAAAAATACAATTATGATATAATTAAATTCATATAACATATAACCATAACCCGATAACTGCATGAGGACAACACCCTAAGTACAAAGAGTGATTGATATCATCTGGTTCCTCAAACCTCAATAGACCGAGTAGGATCCAGACTTGATTGACGAAAGTCTTACACATTATGCAATCGCTCCATACAACCATATAAATAATATATTTCATCAATGAACACATTCAACTGATCGATTACATTACTCAGTTTATTTATTATTTGTTTTTTTTTACAAAAAATGATTTAAGTAATTCAACCAAAGCACAAATGTGCAAACAGACTTCTTTAGCATTTAAGTAAAGAATTGTTGTCTTTATCCTAGATATTTGCCCGACTACCTCGACGAGTGATGTTTTGTGGTATAGGAGTAGGTTGAAAGAAAGCTAGGGGCGGTCAAACCAAAACACGGCACAAATCCATGAAGTCACTGAGTCATGTTGGCAGATGTAGGCTATCTGTTCGGGGTCCGCGAGACCATACTAACCGATGGTTAGAGACCTTGAACGACATCGTGTGCAATGGCCCAGGTGCATTCATTCATTGTGTTCCCTCAAATCCTAGCCTCCTGGATTCCTAATCATCCCTATGTTTCTAAAGTTCTCACTGAATGATACTTCACGAATCGTATCTTCGAACCCTAGCACTTCTATCTAACACTATGGGATTTGAACTGACAGTTACGTCTCTGTGGTGATACAGTATGGCAACCTGAACTTATGTACTCATGTACGAAGTTCTACGTTCTAACTAACTGACTGACTACTAATTGCATTTATTTTCCTTTTAGTAAATATTTTACAGGATGATAGTTTATTTTTTTGATAAATTGTAAACTATTAGGGTTGTTAGATTTCCAGAAATCATTCAATAAACTTCGCACCTTTGTAAATTATATGTAGACATTTGAATTACTCAATTACGAACTAAAAGCGCTAACTGTTATCTTCAGTTTATGTTTCCCAGCTGGAAGGATTTTAAACTTTAATGGTTCGTCTTCCCTTATAGCACGCTATTTTGTAACACTTTACAGGGACATTTTGTACTGAACATATTGTGAATGAGCTAAGTGTTTGTTATCCGTTCTTCCACGTCGCTCGTAGAATTATATATTTTCCGCCGACTGCGGACATCTTTCTCTAATTAGCTGAGGCACAGAGTAGTAGGTTAGCTTTGTCCTGTTGTTCTGTCAATGATCACAAGTCTAATTCACCGGTATTAAGGTGTTATCATGATATATCTCGAACATAGTATAAACATCTAATCAATAATCTGTCATGAACAGTCTATTTAGATGAGTTAAAATCAATACAAGTTAAGATAATGAATCATAACTAATACATGGTAGACAAAAAAAAATATCAAGCTCAAAAGCTAATCAAAAATCAATATTATATAAGTTGTTATACATAAAAGCTACACAAACTTACCAGTATATCTGGAGTCAATGATTGCAGTAGTGTTGTATTATAACATAACAATGATGATAAATCATCAAAATTACAAGTTAGTAAATCTTTTTCACATAATTTCAATATTGCCAAAGCTGCATAGAATAAAGCAGATTCTTCATATAGGAAATATAAATCCCATATTCGTATACATGTTTCCAATGGAAGTATTCGACTGGATCAATTATAGTTGGGTAAAGAATAAAATAGTAGTGACATTAGAAAAATCTTAATAATGAATGAATGATTACGATTTTGAATATTGTATAACATACTACTAACAAAAGACTTTATTTGAGACACCTTGTCTATGAAATGTCATCTTATATGACATGAAATTAAGAATAACCAATGAAGAAATATTTGTCTAGTGAAAGCATTAATTTCTTGACAAATATATTTTGAAAAGTCGTGTAATTACGCTAAAATCTCTGCAATGAATATATGTAGACAGAAAACAACACACCATTTGTAGTCGTGAAAAAAACCAACACGACTTTCCATATACTGTTGTAGAAGAATGATCGTGTTTTGGTAATATGATACATTTTATTTATTTATTGTGTTAGGGACGTTAGCTCCCTAGAACTCACTTGATAAAAGTCCTAATTTTGGATTTTATGTTTTAGCGCATGAGCTGATCAGTTGACCTTGAGATTATATTTCCCACTAGGAAAATTCTTGACTGTTATTGGTTGATGTATTATTTTAGTATGCTATTTTTGTGGCTCTCCCAAAGGACGTTTCTATGATCTATAAATAAACTCGATTTGTCTGCTTGTGAACCTAGACTTATAGGTGTTTGTAGAATACACTTTCTACGCTATATCAAGACTTCTTCTTCTACTTAGTGGGGTATTGAGACGTTCGGATTAGAGTAGCCAGTCGTGTCACTGGATCATTTGTCTTCGCTCTCGTTTACCGACTAAGGTGAACTTGTAATAGTTTCAAGCATATCAATTGACAAGCATAACATATTGGAACACATATAAATTGCTAAAAACGAGGACCAAAACAAATGAGATTGTGAAGAAATAGAGAAGAAAGGCATGTAAGTACACCAAAGAAACAATAAGTCAATATGAGTGGTAAGAAATAATAATGGTTGAAGTAGCTTAGTGGTACAGCAAGCAAACAAAATAGTCTCATTTCATAAGCATGAGTTGAAAACAATTAGATTTTATTAATAGAAATGGTGATATATCTCTAGAATTTCAATGAATAAAATGGTAGCATCTAGTATTTTCAAACATTTTCCCGTGCATTTTCTCAGTGTAACATACAACAACACGAATTTCATTGGAGATTTTATTTCATTCCTCCAAAGCTGTCTGAATAAAACTGGGAAAAGTGACCGAAAATGCGTGAAACCTTCCTCTTTTCTTTTGACCTTGAGAATTCCAAGCGAAGGCTTGTCTTGTGATGCAGTTGAATGCTGTCTTCGATGTGTGTCCTATCCACTACCAGCCCTTCTTCCTCTATTGGAATCTGGTTTGTTCTGTTCCACAGTACGCTATTGCTGATGGTGCACGGCTAACGGATCCGGAGTATTTTGCGCAGACAGCTAACAATGAATGCTTGTATCTTTTGGATGATGGCTTTCGCAATTCTCCAAGTTTCTGCCCCATACAGTAGAACTGCCTTGACATTTGTATTGAAAATTCCGACTTTGGTGTTGGTTGATAGTTATTTGGAATTCCAGATGCTCTTTAGTTGTAAAAAATCAGCCCTAGACTCACAGATGCGTGCCTTCACATCTACATTAGATCCAACTTGCTCATCAATGATGCTTCCCAGATATGTAAAGGTTTTTACGTCCTCCGAGGCATCTCCATCAAGAGTGATTTTGGTTAGCGCATGTTGTATTGTATCGGAGAATCTTGCTTTTTCCTTTGTGTATGTTCAGATCTGCTGATGCTACTGCCCGTGGCACTCTACTGAAGCATTATTATATAGACATAACGAAGTTGGATCAATATATCAACCAGAAAAGAAAACAATACGTGACTTCAAAGTAAAGAGCAGAAAAAAATGTACGAACAATGTTTACACATCTCTGGACAAATTCTAACAAAATTCTTTTAGGTCAATAGTGCAAATAGCTAGTCAGTTTTAGAAAAATTCTAATAACTCAATTCTTTTTGAAGTTTTTATTGATAAATATGACAACGAAAACAATGAAGACATCAAGGTGAAATGGAAATTATTCGAACAATCTCAGTCGAGAATGCTCATCACAAAGTTTATAAATGAGCACTTTGATCTAGCGGTGCGACAAGTCATTTCTCCAAAAAAAGAAGAATATGTTTGTCAAGCATAATGCATATATAACGCCTAAAGTTATTATGTCACTTACTACTGATAAAAGAACCCAGCGTACTATGAGCATGATAGAAAAATAAAGTATTTTGACAATTCGTGATTCGGTGCAAAGTTGTTGAGGACGTGATATCCCCAGAACTCACTTGGAAAGTGTCTTAGTTTTGGACTTTTTTTACGTCTTTGCGCATAAGTCGCCTAGTTGACCTTGAGCTTGCATTTCCTCGACTGTCATTGGGTGATGGATTATTTCAGTACGCTAATTTGTGGCTCTCCCAAGGGCGTTTTTATCATTGTATAAATTAGCTTGGTTTGTGTGCTTAGCAACCTCGTATTTTGTGGGGGTTTGTAGAATACACTCTACGCCTTACCAAAACTTCTTGCATTTGTTGGCCGGGGCTGAGACAACGGATTAGAATAGCCTATCGTATCACTGCATCATTTGTCTTCGCTTCATTTACCGAGTAAGGTGAACTCGTAATAGTTTCAATCATATCAAAAGTTATTTATTGAAAAAATGAAAATCAGTCTGTGGTTGAGAAAACACACATAATAAATAGAGACATTTCATGTCAAAATGTTTGTTAAAATGTTGTCTTACAAAAGCGTTTATCAAAGAAACAAAATAGCATCAAAATTTCTAGATTGTAAATTATTTACCTGAATAATGTAAAGAACCAATCGAACAGAAACATGGTTGTTTCAAAACCAACTAATTTAAAATGCTTATAAAGTCGGGGTAGACATCTAGCGAACAATTTATCAAAATCATTAAAATATAGTAGAAACTGAAAAAAAAATTGTATAAAACAGAATGATTATTAGTTTTACAAACATTGGTAAAGATACATATATATATCGAAATACAAGTACAATATTGAGTTAGAAGCCCCACCTTCACGCGTCATGATGAAGCAGTATGGAAGCAAGCTAAAGGAAGCCAAACCAAGACATGTCATCACTTAATAAAGTTTGCTGAACTGAATGATTTAGGTATTTTTAAGGCTTCTTAGTACAAATATGCGTCATTAACGTAACCAATGTTAGGAGTCTTTGAATGCGCTGTCTCAAAATAGTTCGCAATAGCGTTTATACATTCGTTCTGTGTATCCATTCAAATTCTAAGCTCTTTGATTGTCAAAAAAAATCGATTTTATTTCGTGAATCCTTATTTTTTTTAATAGAATTATAGATTCTATACCAAATCTTTACACTGTGGACATCTATAAAAGCATTTTTAAATACACTAGGCGATCAACTAGCCAACATAAATGCAAAGTTGTAGAACTTTCTTATGATAATTGCTCAGTTAGAAAAAGAAATGGCTCAGTAGTTTAACCAGATCGTATTCTCTTAAAGAATAAAATTAAACTTGCCACTGTCTATTCATAAAGTTGATTCGTTTCAGTTGGTATTAAGGACAACAAAAAATTAATTAACTTATTAATAGTCCATTTTGTGAACTGTTCAATTTGAAAGTATGCATGTTTTCAAAACTTGCATTTGGTAACTTCACTAAACAAGTAAGCTGACAGATATTTTGTGTTTAGGTCGTGATAAGCACATCGTAACAGTGCTCACTAGTGACTAGCTTCGTGAAGAAATTCTCGGAGTTGTAGTGAGAAGACGTGACCAATGTAGTTCAACCCTGTCGGGTGTAGGCAGTAGCTATCAAAGACAAATGGGTGAGGTCGCGCAAAATCCCTAGATCAATCAGAGTTAGACATTAGACACCGTTGGATGCCGGCCCAGTGGTCCGATGGTAAGGTGTCCGGCTGCAATGCCGAAGGTCCCGGGTCCGAATCCTGCGAGGAGCAGGAGTCGTGGATGCGCACTGCTGATGAGTCCCATACCGGGACGAAACGGCCGTCCAGTGCATCCAGGTTTCTAATGGTGGTCTAACAATGATTGATTGATTATTTCAAATGTGTATAAACAAATTATATTCGATGAACAGATCAATTTTTTAAATTTAACTAGAATAATCTACACATCCAATCCAACGACCCACCCTGCGGTCACCCATAAAAATAGTCCAACTTACTTTCTCTTCATTCATACTATAAAATGCTTGATGATATGATCTGTTTAAAATATTTGCAAATGTTACAAATGCATCATAGGTATTATCGAATACTATTAAAGCCATACCAGCAATTGATGACATGCCTGGTACATAACCAATATCCGGTCGATAACTAATAAAAGCTGATAATATATCATGCAATTTCTCATGATATGGATGACCAGGTGAAAATAAATTCAATGTTGGAAATATTTGAAATATGTCTAATTTCATCGTATGTAAATTCATTGTATGATCTATAAAAGTGGGGAATGGAAAGAAAGGCAATGTGTATTGAACAAACTAGAAACGATTTAATTATAATATGCGATATATTAGAACAAAACACAACACTGTTAGATGAAAGTTTTTAATGGGGTCCGAGTACAGAAGAAGCAGAAGAAAAGTAAGGATTATAAAACTTTACGGACAATGCATATTTATACAGTGAGGACGACCTTGAATACTAGCCAGTAGGAAACAATATTTTAAGAAGTATGTGAACTTGATAGTTTAGGACGACCTTAAATACTGACCAATAGAATTACACTTACAAGATCACTTCTTTGGGATATTTGATGAGATCCTAACAGATATGATATAGCATACAAAAAGATTTTGGAGAACAACGTCTAACATAAATGTTTGCAGATGAAAGTGATTACTTGAAAATAGGATCTTG